GGCCCCCCCCGCCCGCCCCCCCCCCCCCCCCCCCGCCCCCCCCCCCCCCCCCCCCCCCCCCCCCCCCCCCCCCCCGGGCCCAAGACGTGGGGACCATACCACCGGCGATCACGAACCCGCCGTGGCGCGGCGATGGGCGTCGAGGGAACAAATAACGGATTCCTTCTCCCCGGATCTACCCCAGAAACGGCCGACCGAGGGCTTCTGGCTTTTTCGGTGGCTTGCTTACGGGCTGAAGAGGGAGCCTTGCCGGCTACCTGTATATCGGGTTAGAGTGCTGCGTAGGTAGGTAAGATGCTGGCCTAAGGTTTGCCTTTACTTTTTTTTTTCATGTTTGCGCTTCGGGTTATTATCTGCTTAGGTCGGCGACATGTCCCAGTTTATGGGGAGCTGGGCGCAACGGGTGACGAATGGTAGGGCCGTGTAGTCGAGGATCGGTGGCTGCCAACTAGACACAGGATTGTGGTTCGGCTGGGTTACCTGACCTTCGAGTAACCTAGTGCCCTTGGCAGCTGTGAGATGTATAGAGTATTTATCGGGGTATACATCCAGTATCTCGCTGTAAAGCCGTTCCATCCTCGACTATTTTCTTCGCGTCGTTTTGGTCATTGATGTTTGTATGAGCTCGGGGATGAGCAAACTAGCCCTCGTCCTAGGCTATCCCGTTTATCGACGAGTGTTTGCCAAATGTTGATACGTAGCGGTAACGATTTGCTTTACATGACCGTTGGCATTCTCAATCTTGGTCTGTCCATCTTAGTTGGATGAGGAGTTGATTTCCCTTGAATCAATTCGTAGCGATTATTGGTGTATTGGATTTCTAGTGTATATTTTTTGTATTCAGGCGCTGTACTGCTTACTATGCTGTCTAATACCGAATGCTATACTTAGCACATAGCAAATACTCGGTCAATACTTACCAGTAGGTGCCAAGCTGGTAAGAATTTGGGCTTATGATACATTTCTGTTGTTGAAAATAATTGGGTACCTATCTTGGTAGCTACTCCCGAAATGTGGGTATTGTCAATGGATGCTTGTGTCTTCTCGCGGAGATTGTAGCTATGGTAGATCGTATATCTTTCAAGTGTTATTTTAGCTACAATTATTTCTGTAGTTATCATAACATCGATGTTGTAGAAGTGATTGAATTACCATCAATCAAAGTGTTGTAATGGCACTCATGCTTGGTTTGATGCTCTCAACACGAATAGGGGTTACAAGCCAGATTCTGTCCACCTATACCGAATTACTAGGTACCTAATCGATCTAAGCATTCAGCTGGCTAAAATTAAGTTGCTGTTGCTATATTACTGATAGGTGAATCATGTAGGTTTAATGATGCTTCAACATGAAGGGGATGTATGTCTGAATAGGTAAGTCCCAGATGCATAAAATAAATTTGATAAATCACAGCTATAACCCCATGTCCCAAATATGCATTTCAATCTCCTCTCGAAATAATGCCGCAGCCACATAGCCCTATAGTAACGCCCCCCTTTCTGTGCGTGATGGTGTCAAGTTTTCAACAACTCCGCTCTACCCCTGTTCACTTGTGTGTTATTGGCTGACCTCTTCCTCTTCGAAAACAACTAGCACTGTTCCAGCTTTGCATTTGTCCTTTTATTCATGTCAGTAATATGGTACCTTAATTATAGAAACAAGTGACGACTTACACCCTCCTTATGCGCTAGCTTTTTGATAACACCATCTTGTGGTGATCGAATCACCGTTTCCATTTTCATAGATTCGATGCTGAACCCAATATTAGCATACTACTCGGCTCGCCAAGCCACGGAGAGGGGTTACTTACACGACAAGAGGAGCCCCTTTAGTCACTCTGTCGCCTTCCTCGACTTCAATCTTGAGGACTTTACAAGGCATTGGGGCTGCAACCGATGCCGTTACTTCCTTTAGTCCTAAGGCTTTTTCGTACCAAGTCGGAGACACTAGAGATAATTCTGTCTTGGCGCCGAGTTGAAATATGGTAATCTTACTGTCGTTGTTCGGATCCTGTATAACCGTAGTTTCTATCCGCGTATCTGGGAAGAAGGTGGTTATGCTCGTATTCTCCGAAGATGGAACGGGTGACGAGACGAGATTCTCAAAGACTTGAGGCTCCTCGCCTTTTCGGGTGACCCGGGCGTCGAATAAACTGTTTCCTTTCTGGATTATCCTGACATCCACCACTTCCCCTTCTTTTTGATCCAATAAATCAAGGGACTTGAAAGAGAATTGTCGTTCGCTGCCACTAGGAGAACCGAAACCGAGACTTTCGCCATGAGGTTCGACCGTCTCTGTTGGCTTGGTGGAGAATATGCCAAGTGCCGCTTGAACATACACTTCAGGCTTGATTACCACAGGATCGAAAAGGTCTCCTTTCCATTTGTCGATGAACCCAGTCTCGACATCGCCTTCTATGAATGCTGGCGATCTGCACAGACGCTTCAAGAACTCGATGTTAGTGCTCAGACCAACCACTTCATAATCTCGCAGCGCAAGCTCGAGCTTTCTGATGGCGGTCTCCCGGTCTCTTCCCCTAACGATAAGTTTTGCAATCATGCCATCGTAAGCTTCCGTCACCGTATCGCCCTGAATAAAACCAGCGTCGATTCGGACATCCTCGTTAGTCTTGGGAGTTTTCAAATGAACTAGATTTCCAGAGTCGGGTATGAACCCCTTTTCAGGATTCTCGGCGTATATCCTTGCTTCGATGGCTGCTCCCCTTTCCTGAATTCTGTCAATGATCTCCTTTTGTGTTAGTGGCAACTTCTCCCCAGCAGCAACTCGAAATTGCCATTCAACTAGGTCAGTCCCCGTGACCATCTCGCTGACAGGATGCTCAACCTGGAGTCGGGTGTTCATCTCCATGAAGTAGAAATTCCCCGTGTCCTTGTCGAGGATGAACTCTACCGTACCAGCCCCGACGTACCCCACTGCCAATGCCGCCGTTCTGGCTTTCTCCCATAGATCTAGTCTCGTCACATCATCCAAGTCGGGAGCCGGTGACTCTTCGAGTATCTTCTGATGTCGTCGTTGCACGCTGCAGTCTCGCTCCCCAAGGGCCACGCAGTTTCCATGCTTGTCTGCGAATACTTGGACCTCGACGTGCCTGGGCCTTACAATATACTTCTCGACCAACATAACCTCGCCGCCTTCACCAAAGGACGCCTTCGCTTCTGCCCGCGCGCTCTTCAACTGCTGAAGGAATTCGCCTTCCTCCATTACGATACGCATGCCCTTACCACCGCCACCTCTTACACTCTTCAGCAAGACGGGGAACTGTATTTGCTTAGCGTGTTCGAGCAATTCCGCCTCACCTTGCTCGCTTCCATGATACCCGGGGACGCACGGTACTCCGGCTTGAGTCATAATTTCTTTACTCCGTGCCTTATTGCCCATGTCTGCCATGGCCTGGGCTGGCGGCCCGACGAATACTATTCCCTCCTGCTCGCACCTCTTGGCGAAGGCAGAGTTCTCTGATAAGAACCCATAGCCTGGATGGAGTGCCTGGATGCCATGCTGCTTAGCCAGCCTCACTATTCTTTCGCCGTCAAGATAGCCATTAGCCGCACCGAGGCCTATGGAATGTGACGAGCAAGAGGCATGTTGTGATGAGGCGTCGGGATCGGTATATAATGTAGTGGTCTTTATACCGAGGCGTTCGGCTGTCTTATTTATCCTCAGAGCAATTTCACCGCGATTTGCAATTAGTAAGGAGGTTATGGGAGTAACTTGAGACTGGAGAGATGAACTAGTTGAGAGGTAGCGGGATAATGGACGGTGACGGAGGTGTCTAGGCTTTATTGAACGCATCTTGTATTGTAGGAAGGTAATTTCTTGGATTATTAATATTCTAACGCGTGTGAATATAGTATATATGATGCAATGAAAGAAGGAAGCGTCGGGAGAAGAAGTCAGCCATGGCGCTTCATTCCATTATCCCATTATTGAATTAAGTGAAGGCCGCGATTAAGCGGTCCCACCCCCGCGAAAAGCCGGCGGCCCGCAGGCGTCCAACCTTAATAAGCCGTGGAGATGGCCCAAGCTCCAGCCTCGGTGGGGTTTCCCTGTCAGGCCCTGTCAAAAATAGCAGGGAGGGGGCTTTTCAACCCTGAACCCCAACGTCATCATCGATCTGATAGGATCGACAAACCCCCAATCAATATCTCTCCAATAAAAACTTCACGCGACTACGATGGATCAGATAGCCCTCAACCATGAGGCCTCGGCCGGCGACACGCATAAGCAATTAGTGTCGTCGCTACCACCGGAGGTCGTACAATGTCTTGAAAACGCCCGTTTCGTGAGTCTACGATCCCGCCCCCGCCCCCGCCTCATCCGCTTGCCCGCATTGAAATGAGACTCCGGCCGCTGACAAGATCCGGAGTAGCTTCATCTGGCGACATGCACCGACAACCAGCCGCACGTCTCGTTGATGAATTATACGTATATCCCTTCCTCTCAGTTCTCTTCCGCGCCGGTTATCGTGATGACGACGAATCCCTCGTCTAAGAAGACCAATAATCTAGTCGTCAATCCGAACGTTTCGTTATTAGTCCACGACTGTGAGAACCCGCCAATGGTCTTATGATAGACATTGAACTCCATATACAAACACACATATATAATAAGATATATAATACGTAACATGCTAATAGAATATCAGGGGTCTCACATAGACCACCAACCCAAGGCCGACGAATGTCCGGCGGATCCCCCGGGCCCGAACACAGATCAAGCCTGGCGTCGTTGCTGCTGAATCTCAACACCAGTGCTATATCGAGCATCAGCGCCACCATCAACGGTACGGCGGAATTGGTGGCGCGCGGCTCCGAGGAAGAGTCGTTTTACCGGAGCCAGCACCTCGAGAACAACACATTCGACTCGGAAGGCGTCGTCGGCGCGTTTAACGGAGGCGGCGGCGAGCAGCTACCGGAGGACGGAGGCCGCGAGTGTTTCGTCGCGGGCGAGGAGGTACGGGTCATACTCGTGCACATCAAGGACATAAGGACGAGCGACTGGAAGGGTAGCGTCAAGGATTGGGTCCTGGCGTCGGAGGGTAATGCGCCGAACGTGAATGGCGCGAGATGAGTCCACAAGTACGTAGTTGAGCTGTCGACTGAAAGTCAGATGGTGATTTGAGATATGCTGGACAAGGTGTGTACACTTAAATTGGTATGTCTAATCTGGTGTATGGGATCTATTCTATGTACTATCTATGATGAGAAGGCGATTAATCACAAGCACATTCGAAAGATCAAGCATGACCAAGTTAGGGGAGCACTGGAAGTATGAACGGTTGCCCGGCTTCCGAACTTGTACTGCAAATGGTTCAAAATTATTTGGTTAACAGACTCATCCAATCGAAATGTGTATAATTACAACTCAATGCATCCATCGCTACCCAGTTAGGTATTGGCAAACCTCCGAACTCATTCACAAGGAGCTCCTCCGCAAAAACACTCCCAAACAGCACTCTCAACAGTCAAGTTCCAAAACTGATCTGATCAAGTTGAGTTAGTCCCGGCTCATATTATCTTTTTGATGAACTGGTCAGGGAACATACCAAGTTGCGGCTCGGAAGCTTTCTAACTGATAGATAATTCCACTCTTAGATATGTTTGGATTGGTTAGAATAGGACATATAATCAATCCTAGTTCATTTTCAATCCCGCTCTTCGAAGTCGGCGCAAGAAGTTCTCCTCTTCTAGCTCTGTTCCGGCGATACCAAAAATGCTTTGGTATATAGGAGCCATATCGTGTGGTCCACATGGTCGAGAGTCGCCGCTTGGTTTTCTTTTCTCTAGGAAATTGGCGAAATGGGACTGTATCATTTCTTCGGCAGTTTGGGTTTGAGACTGAAATACCGGTTTTGTCTTCTCTTCCTGTTCCGAGTCCTCACCGAAGTCCTGGCCGTCAATACATTCGTTGATATTGGTATATGTATTCACGATAGCTCCTTTGATACGCGTGGCCTCCTCCGGTGTAAAGTAAGGAGCACTGATGTAGAGGGGGTCTATTGTCTGGGATATTCGCTCCTGGGCAGCACGGTTGGTACGGATACTTCTAAAGTCGTGCAAAAGAACGCGAAGTTTGTAACCAAGATTCGGATCAGCTCTAATAACTGAAGTCGTCGTCCGTGTTTGCTCTTGTAGGTGCGCCGGCGCCGGTGCTGCTGCTGTTCGTTTGCCTTTTTCCTTCCCGCCTGCCATTTTTATTGATTCACTGAAAAGAATTTACTTGGGGCGATAGTGCTCAGTCTTATATACCTCTTATGACCTGCTCCTCAACGTTTGGCTATAAAACTTTGAAGCCAACTTTAATATGCTGCGCCTTCTTGTCATAGCCCTCAGTTAACCTTATCGCATCTGTCCTTTTTCTAATGCGCTCGTTCCAACCCATTGTTTACTAGCTCGTTAGTTCCGCCTAGTTACAGTTATGGCTGAATCTACGTAGCTGTTAGTTCCCTTGGAGATTTTGATTACACAGTTGAAGTAAAGCTAATCACGTAAGTTTTTATGTATAGGCAGGTAGGTATAACAAGTTGGCACTTGACAAGAGTGTCTACATTGCGGTATTAAAGTGCTCATTATATCTCTCTGGGAAGTCTGATTCTTTTCTCTTCCTCTATAAATATGAGAACTAATATTATACCTTTTTATTGTCCAACCGTACTGTCAGAAGCTTCTAGAGCACCAGAGCAACTCTGGTCCTTAAACGAAGAAATAACCCTGCTGAAGTTTTTACAGGTATCATGAAGCATATCTGAGATTCGAATCATGAACTTCACCCTCGAGGATTACCTCAAGACCATCAACACGAAAGGAAATTCCCAGGATTTTTCATTCCATATTCATCGCAGTAGCATGGCAGTGGCTGTACGTTTGTTGTCGGATGAAAGCATCGAAATGACATACAATCTATACTGCAAAGGAGATGCCCTAGCCATGAAAACTCACTAGCACAGAGACGCAAATTGTCGTCTCAGCGGGGCATTCTATCACCAGTGTCACGAGACGGAATTAGAAGACTGGGAAACAACGAAGTTGTTATGCAAGGAGCTCTAAACTACATAGGGTCGAACCAAGACTCACTTTGAATTATCGAAAAGTCGAAGAAGACATTCCTGGAACGAACATAACCCTGCTCTAAGACGTAAATAACCATTTATCCCATCCTGGTGTCGGCTCATTCTCGAAATTTGACCTCAAAAACGCCTATTGGGGAATCGAACGAAGTACACCCAGATGACAGACATGTGTTCGCGTTCTCGGTTCCGGGGTTTCCTCAGTTGCAACCTACTCGAATGCCTCCTACTACCTGCTAGGGTACACGGTATACATACATAGACCTTCCTCTGTCTAATCCACCCCAGGGCCAGCTGCCAACAGATCCCTCCAGAGCTACCTAAGAGCATTGCGGTCACTCTTAGGCCGCACCCAGATCCTCCTGGACCACTAATCAACTCTGACAAGCCCTCTAGCTACTAGCTCCCATGGAGGATGTTTCTAGTAACCAAAAGATATTTATCCAATCAGAGGTACGGCATGTATCCGAGTCTAGCAACATCACCACTATGAGCATTATCGAAGATGAAGCGAGCATGGTGACCATCAAGGTTAGAGACAGATTCGAGACTTTCACAAAATAATATCTACTTGGTAGGTAAGATCTTTATAATTATGCCTTGTGATATTCAATTTTTTGCCTGTACTGATATTCTACAGAATGATTTAGCTGCCTCTCCACCGAAATGCAAAACACAGTATCTCCACAATGCCGAAGGTGAGCGAGATGATCCAGGGCCAGATCAGTCAGTTACTCATCATTAGGCAGCCGAATATCAGGGGGATCTCGTCCGGGACATGAGCGAACTGACATCCCTTGGTGGTTATTCCTGCTCGAAGGTTTTGATGGGCAAGTGACCATACAGGATCTCGAACGAAAAAATCTTGAGGCTCTCGATATGTCTGGCATTCACATTTGCCATCACATCTGATACCGACGAAACCCAGTCTATCCGATGTGAGTGATATTTCGCGTATGATTCCGCCTGCTATGTATGCCTGTACAACGATATCGTCTAGGCATTTCAAACTGGTTAGCTGGGCGCAAGATGATAGGTTGTAAGATTATATTGGTGATTGGTTTCTTCGATATAGCAATATTCGTGCGTCGGAGGATTCCTTCATTCTGGTCTTGAGCCTGGCCTCGGTTCAGACTCACTTCCCGTTTTTTTGAATCGTTCTTCATCATGATCGTGGCGGATGCGAGCGATAGCTCACCACCAGACGATGACGAAGAATCCGATCTCGACGACTCGCCGACTGAGACTGACGACGAGGAAGATGACGAACGTGTAGAGATATTGAACGAGAGCTCGAACGAACTGAGATCCATTCCTTCCTGAAATAGCATGACGAGATCCATTACTCATGTATAGCAACATTCTTTACTTCGTGGACCATGGAAGGACGAATGCGCAGTGATATGGAACAGTGCCATGGAAATTCGATGCCTGAAGAGGAACTTGATGACTTATCTAGATCTGTGGATGGGTTCCGAGAGTCCTGCCAGAATTTTGCCCATAATTTAAGAACATTTGGGAACAAGGGATCTCGCTCGCGACTCGAGCCGACTGTAGACGACTATCAGTTGAAGGGACAGAAGCTGGATTGGTTGTACATTGTTCCTACATGTTTGAAGCAATCCGATCGTGTGGCAAATTCACGTCTACACTTCCTGCACGTACGTTTGTCTACGTCATTGGGCCGCGCCAAGTAAGAAAGCCGCCTTCGACATACTACAGGCTCAACTATCACGACCTTTGAATTTGACGCACTGGGATTTTAACAGGCGAACATTTTTGAAAATAGACGCCATCAAGCTCGCGGAAGCTAAAATGAAGGTGTGGTACGACAGACGACATTCGCCCCTTGAGGATCTGGGGACACATGCGTACGTGAAACTGGCCAAACCAGGACAGCGAGGATACCACCTAAATAATCAAACAAAGTTATCGTTCAAAAAGGTTGGGCCTTTCGAAATCGAGAAAAAGATATCACCCTATAGGTACAAACTGAAACTACCCGAGTGGCTGAAATGGCACCCAGTCATATCATCACAGCATCTGGAGACAGCAGAACGGGACCCGTACAACCGACCACAACCGACATCCGGACCCCTGAAGGTCGACGACAAGGATATTTATGTCGTAGAACAGATTCTCCAGAGCGACGAGGTTTCGGAGTGATGATCTTTCACCTCGACGATGAATAGGACGGAGGAGACATTCCGATTTCAAAGATTCAGCCGATTAACTTTCATTCGAAAGTACTCACCAAGGCGGAGAAGAAATACGGCATCACAGAACTCAAAACGGCATGTCTTGTGTGGTTATGTCGACTTGTGAGGATCCAGCTACAATCGTGTACAGAGGTAACCATCTTATTCACACTTCGTTCGACTTCATTGAGAGCCCAACATTTGGTAGCTCTGAGGTCGTTCTTTCTAAAGTAGGTCGGCAGAATAATCCTCTCCCACTCAAGTATGCCTAGGTATACATGCTAGGCAGGGCAATCGATTTGCTGGATTGCGCCACACCACATCTACCTATGAACCGCATAACCCTTTACTATCTTTGGTAGAAGGGTGCTCTTTTCGCCGATAAAGACCTACGACGAGGTTCCGGGGTGGTGTTGAATGGCTTGTATATATTCAAATACAATAAGGCCATTATTGCGTTGTTTGCGGTTGGGAATCTCCCCGATTCTGGCCTGGTAGAGGTGGTGGTGTTCGGGGCTCGGTATTTCGGTACTTCGGTTCTACGATTCCTATCTGAAGTTTCAGTTAGCATAAACTGAACAAAACAAGTCCGAATTGAGACATTTCGTACCATTGACAAAAGCCGCCAAACTGTATCTGTAGGTTGCGCTCCTACACCTATCCAGTACTTCGTCCTTAGCGTGTCTAGCTTGATGTCTTTGTGTAATCTCCCCGAGTCATCGTATGGGTCTGGCTTCGGAATAGGATCGTAAGTACCAACCACCTCAAGTGGCCTGTCGTTTCTTGCTGTTCTGTACCGGTTAAGATATGGTTAGTTGCTGGTCTGGAACTCATGCGCAAAGTTGCGCAAAGTTGGGGAAATTGTTTCGTCAAGCTTACCTCGCGTGGGCAACTACTATGTTGTAGAAGGGAGAATTTCTGCGCCCGAATCGCGCCAACCGAATCTTTATTACCATGCTGCTCGTCGTGCTTATCGGAGATGGTTGTTTGTTGGAAGATCGACTTATGGTGTGAGAGTCGAGGATAATCGCATTAAAAGTTAAAAGTTCACAGTCGCATTTGCACTTTGAAGTTCGGATTCAATAATTTTGACGGATCTGGGGACTATTTTCTCCGCCCTAGCCAATCGGGGGAGCTCCACTCATTTAGTCAGCAATCGCATGGCACTTACACCAGTGATGTCAGTCGATCGACTAAATTGCATACAACTTCCCCCAAATCATCGAAAAGAGGTTTTATAAAATTTTCCTAATTAATTTATCTCCTGGTACTAGGTGCTTGATAGTTCTTCGTTTGCCAAAATTCAGTATTCCAAAGAGCCATGGCATTGAAGGTGAGTTGTATATTCAAGAAACGAGAATCGTGCCAAGACAATAATTGTACAGATTGACTTACACCCTCATAGACTTTGTCGGCGAAAGCCGCGGCTGCTTTAGACAAGGAGCTCATGAGTACCGGTGCCTTTTCAATTGACCAACTCATGGAACTTGCTGGATTATCAGTTTCCCAAGTCGGTGCGTCTTTCATTTTGGTCGTTTGACTCTGAGCACCTATCTAACCACTATTTCTATCAAGTTTATCGAGTTTGCCCCCCGAATAGGGGTAATCGAGTGCTTGTGGCTTGCGGTCCCGGGAATAATGGTGCGCCAAATTCTCTAGCTACAGTCATATAGCCTTTCTAATGGATCGAAGGCGGTGATGGGCTCGTTGCAGCTCGTCACCTTCGCCATTATGGGTATTCGCCAACCGTCTATTATCCGAAACGGAGCAAGAATGAGCTCTATCAGGTATGTTAGTCGCCAAAATGCTATTTTGAATACTTTCTAAATACCGGAGCGTAAAATTGTCATGAACCTCTCACACCCTCTAATTCACCAAGTCTTCGACATGATTTAGAGCACAGTACCCCTGGTCAGCAATTTTAATCGTCCTGCTTCATCGATTACCCTGTATTAAGCTGCTCTATTTTCCTCTTCTCGATCACAGTTCGCTTCGCCTGTACATGATGCTTCCCAATTTTTGGCCAATACAATTACATGCTCGAGACACTGATCGTTGTCGTCGTCATAGCGACTTGCTAAGCAGCTAGAAGACCTTGAGGTGCCGTTTGTGGACGATTTCCCAGCTGCTTTGGGTTCGGCTGATCACATCGTGGATGCGGTTTTTGGTACGTTCTGCTGTCGTATTTCGAAAGTAAAAAAACTCATGCGAAAAAAGGCTTCAGCTTCTCGGGCGAAGTTCGCGAACCCTTCCCGGCTGTGATTCGGGCTTTGGAGGACACCAAAATACCAGTGACATCAGTTGATGCGCCGTCTTCTTGGAATATCGAAACTGGACCACCCGAGTCCGGTTTAGGTAGCAAGTTTAACCCTGACTACTTGATCAGCCTGACAGCTCCTAAGCCTTTGGTTAAATACTTCAAAGGTCGTCATTTTGTAGGCGGCCGGTGAGTAACTCATCGCGAACTCGAAGAACCGTCTAGCGGCTGACGTACCGGTAGCTTTGTCTCCCCGGGAATCGCTAAGAAGTATGACTTCGAGGTCCCCGAGTACAAAGGAGTTGACCAAATTGTCGAGGTCGGTACTGGAGGAGAGAAGCTCTGATGGCAGACATTCGGTCGTGTATAGAAATCGCTCGATCTGGAATTATCGAATTGTCGCGGGGGCAACCCCCCTTGCTGTGCTAACTGACACAGCAACCCCCAGTGCGACTGAAAGGACAAACTGGACTCGGGCATCTTCCTTCTTGCATGTCTTCGGTTTTCTCAGTTATTCCCCTAGGGCAGCGTAGCAGCGGAGGATGGTAATTTTTGCAGAACTCGACATAGATGAGATATTGCTTCCCGCAAACAGGGCATTCCGCGGCATGCTCAGTGCACATTAAATTTACAGAATGGCTCTTTGCTCTGAATTGCAAAGAACGCGAGATCATGGAATCGTCCCTGGAAGGACAAAAATCTCGACGACAACTGTTGGGTTGGCATACCATCCGTATAAACGTGGCTTAGTAGAGGTGGGTGTGGCTTTCGAGTCTGATATAGGCCGGAACACACGCTCACAAGAGTACTGTAACACGACCGCTAGAATCGCCACCGCCGGACCCAAAAAGCACATTTGACGGCTGATGTTCTGCTGATGAAACTTGCTGTGGCGATTGCAGGGCACGGGGATGCTAAAGGACCACTCCCCGAGAAATTGTACAAGAGAGAGACTTCTCATTTCTGTTTGCTCTAACAATTCACATTGACTGCCTACCTCTTTCATTTTTAATTTTTGTGCTGTCTAATCCAGCACCTAGCTTTTAGGTAGATGGGGGCAGGCATAGCTACTTTGCTCTGTAAAGCGCCGGAGCTTTTGCTCCCTGGCGCATGTGATAGGTCAGTATGGATCTGCGGCGCTTACCTTGTTAGTGGTGCCAGAAGACGGGCACTCTCTTTCGCACTTTTCCCTCGGTCTCCGGCTATAGTCAGGTGATTCTGCTGGATTCTAGATCAAATTTCACCGATCTTCCACACTACAGGAGGGACCCTCAATCGGGAACGAGCTCGTGAACAGAAGAATTATCAATCGAAAGTTCCAGCGCCGGCCTGTCTATTCTATCAACTTATAGCGTCCGATGGTGGTAGTGGGAATACGATATGGGTCACCGAGCAGCCCTGACACCTGGAGTATTAAACTATCCATGGCACTTATCTGATGTCGCAATGGCAGAATGGGTCGCTAGTAGATTAGTGACGATCAGCAGAGAAGGATGCGAGTACGACCTATACAGCCCTATAGGGACCTATCATTGCTAATTGAACACGGTGCCACAAGCTCCCACGTAGCCACGGTGCTTAGGCCACGAATGATAGGAAGAAGTCGACAATATCTTGCATCTATGACAGGATAACATCCTATTCGACCACTAGTACCGACGCGGTGGCGCCTGTAGTGCAAATGAGCTCCTTAAGATCAGTGATGTTTAAATTAGTTTACTAGTTTCCTTTTTCCTTGAGACCGTCTCGCCGCTCGCGTGGAAAATAGCAAGGGAAAAAAAGGGAGATCGACAAGGGACCATCGTTTCGAGAACGATCAAAATCCCCCACATGCCTCGGAATCATTCCTACACAACCACAAACCAGAGTGAAAAGCTCCCCGCGATCCGCATCACATAGAGGGATGCATACTCCTACCAGACGTGCCTGCGTGCGTAATTCCTCTTTACCTACCGACCAAATATTTTACCCACTCTGCATGTTTCTCATTTATTACCAATCCTCACCATATCGGCCTGAAACCACTGTAAGGAGCCAGTTTTATGCCCAACCCGCCAACTGTAACTGCGAAGCTTGTCCTCCAGGGCTGTCTGCTTGTCCCGCCTTTCCGCCCCTAGACATAGACGGGCTACCAATCTCACAGCGGTTCGATCCGGTCGGGGTAGGCGCCAAGCTAGGAGGTATGTAAACAAGAGACGTCGCAAAATTTAAACCTTTAACAGACCGCAACTTTCCTTCCTGGCCATATCGCTGGGAATAAGGCATCTCACTTTCATGCGAAATCGCTGGCATCGAGATCGCCAAAAACATATATTGCGGGCATAATATCTCGATCCCTGTGGATGGCACAATGTTACATTACTACGTATTCCAGCATTATGTATGTTTATCCCATTTCATTACCCCGTAATCTCTGTCCTCTTTGCTATCTTTAGCGAAACTACATAGTAGACTGCAGTGCTAGATATCTTTACAAATGGCAGAAATGGCCACCTATGGAAGCTAATCCGCTCCCTTGGGTCCTCGTCTAAATTGGTGAGTATAATTGTGGATTGTCCCACCTACTAAACGTCATTAGGCCTCGGATGAAGCCCCAGGATGTGTTATTGGCAGTCAACGGCACGCGATCTAGCGATCTAGGATCTTAATAACCCGGGAACCTTGACGATCCGAACCGGCAACGATGAATATTAGGTTAAGACACATGCTTACTACGTAGACTACCAGAATACGCACGGGGCTATACGGCCTTAACTAGCAACTTAACATAAGCTTGACCATATTTTTCATCAGCATGAGAGCGTTGAGAGTACCTACATTTACATTCGCCACCGCCGAGCCGTACACGGATACCGCTCTGCCGGTAGTGATATGCGATGCAAATAGCAAAGGTACATACATACACATATACATACATACATACATGTGCATTCTACCGCTACGAGTACTGAATGGGCAAAACAAATCCAGTGCAAGGAACGGCGTCACATGTCGCGTTTCTCCCGTCAGTCGCACAATAACGACCATCAGCGACGATCGCGGCTCCTTACGGACATGTTTAGCTTGCTAGGCCTTGCTCAGCCACAAGAACCATTGGACTGTCGGACATGTCCTAGCTGGCAGAAGCAGCCTCAAGCTTTCTAGTAAACCCGCCAGTCTCCGCTCGGAGCGAACCACACCCGCCAACCCGCCGACCCGCCGCTGACAACGTCGTACAAACTCGGGGGAAGATTTCGGGAAAGTTCGCCACCCTTCTCCCAATTATTAGCAACCGCCAGTCAATGATGATCTACGTTGCATGAGCCACGTAACGCCACATGCCGCCACACACCACAGCCACACTCATGGCTGTCATGGCTGAAGTTGTCCCCCTGGCATATCGTCACATGACCCTATTTCTTAGCTCAATCCAACTTCATATCTCTCCTTTCCTTTCCGCTTTGGCCGTTTGCTTCTTCGCCACCTTCATCAATTACGACAACATGTTCATCAGGGCCGAACAGCGAGGATATAGGACTCGCGTGGAGATTACCAGAACATACTATGCAGGACAAGCTTGTCACAAGCTAATACGGATACGAAGGGCAGAAAGGGCCTGTTAGCAGCCACTTCCGTCCGATGTACTCTGGTCGTACCGATGTGAATCCTGGACAATATCGCTTCTTTAACAACGGGCCCGGACCCAGTCGTACTATAAGCTCATACATATCTGCGTCCACGGCATACCCGTTAATCTTTTGCCGCAACAACGAGACGAGGCTTCGTCATCACGCTACCCTGTTTCAGATGACTGCCTAAGGTCGAACCTGTCTCTGCCAGGTGTTCGGTATCTGGATGTAGAAGGGATGACACAGGACCGGGGTTGCCTCACCTCTGGCGGTATACGTGTTATATTCGCCTCTATCATGAACCCTTTCTTCGGTACCACCGGCGGGGCTGCTTCAAATTGGATTCCTGCGCTGTTACCTACGTAGCAGCCTAGGTGTGCGGGATGGGCAGGATGGGGTAACTTTCATTGATGCCTTGATGAAACGTTCCAAACTACTGGGCCAGACTAGGGATGAAGATGGGCATCGTACTAGGCATCAGATTTCTCGGTTCCTTTGGTCCCGGTCACGGTGAGTCATCCTCTATACGTGGGTTTACTTTCGAGGATAGACCGTGTCTATGACGAGCTGATATATCGTGTCAAGGAAAGACGTTGGGTTATCTGAATCATCAATACTACATCCCAATACCTCAACAAGTGAGGTCGAAATGGAAACGGTGTCATGTTCGACTATCTATTACGTATTGGTTTTCGATGGCCGGCGCTGAACAACATATGAAACCTATCAAAAAGTAACATCACCATATCTCTTGCCCTGACTGTCCAAATATTTCGACTCCCCCTTGAATTCGCTCGTGGCATACTGGAAACAGTTTAGGCAAACCACTAGAGCCGAAACGTCATCCCCTAGCAATCCTCCGTTACGACCAGTATGCTAAGTGTCTTGGGGACCGCGGGAAGGAGTAAGCACGAGGTCACCCCGAATACCGGCCGCGTTTGCAGAGGTTAGGCTAAACTTCCTTCATGGCATCTCTAACGAGGTTCCTTAGGGTTATTCAAGGAATCAACATATTGCTAGAAAAAAAGCATAGAAGAAGCCTTGAACTTGCTAACACGGATCAGAGACCCATTCTGCACCGAGGTAAAAAATCAAGGAACATCTTAGTCTAGTATCGAAAAAAGTTCAGAGGAATAGTAGTGAAGACTCCGAATCGGGGAATCGAACCCCGGGCTTGGCGGATCACGTTTGATTTAGTATTATCGAGAATACTAATTCCATTCCATGAGAGCACCAAATGTTAGCCACTACACCAATTCGGATCCATGTTGGATGAAAAGTTGTTGTGGTAAACTTGGCTAATATGCTCTAGTTTTGTTAGCGCTCAGTCTACACCCATCAAGTGTCACTATTATCAATAGAAAGTACGTAGATAGAGGACTGATAACAGTTAAGTACATATCCCCTTCACTGGTGTAGAACTAATTCAATGAATATACTTGACAACAGCCCCTAAAGTCCACTAGCACTCACGGAAGTCTAATTGCCTATAATTGGCTAAATGTCGCATTCCCCCTTTCAAGATCACCATATCCTTTGACTGGCTTAAGGCAACAAACCCACTTATTTCAGTAGCAGTACGAGTAGCAACCCCTAAGATCTCATAGCACACGCAAGAGCTCAATTGTGATTGGCTGAAACCGTATACCTTTATTCCCATTAGCTATACGCCCCGAGCAGATCGAACTGCTCCAATATCTCATATATATCTCAGTATAGTGATATCATGCCTCAGATGTGCAACGTGATTTACGTAAGTACGTATAAATCGAGAACATGAACGTCAATTTGGCTATTCAACCCTTTTCATAGACGGCTCATATTAATTATGAAAACATATCAATGTTGGCTATTTCAAAAGTGCAACGTTTGAGCTAGTTGCTAGAGCAACTGAAGAGTGGCTGTGTCTAGAAAAGACGAAGACTCCGGACAGCCCAACATCATCGACTATGTAGGGCCAGGGAAAATAGTTCATGCCAATCAAATATTCGTAGTGAAGAGACTGCATCACAGAGGTTTCTGACCGACGGCAGTTATGACTTTCCCTTGATGAACCACCACGCCTTGTTCCGTCTCCTTAACTCCTCTGGCAAATAGATCAACCCACGCCTCACGGGTCAATGGTGCATCCGGTTCTTTGGCCTTGGGTGGGAAAAAGGCGGCTAGCTCTTCCCAAACCATCAAATAGTCTTCAGTCCAAGCCTTGAAGTCCTGCTTTCTCTTTTCCTGCACACGAAGAAACACATTCTGAAAGCCGAACTTGTCAAGGTGCGTATCTAGGACATCTACCCAATCATTTCGAATGCCTTTGGTTTGGAGGCCTCCTTGGAGTACCTGCACAATGGTATCACAGGCAGTTTTGGATATCCGGGACGAAGGCGACTCGACGATGAATCTATCACCTCGGCATTCCTCCCACTGAAGAAAGCCACCGGGTTTCAGAAGCTCTGATGCGGCAGATAAGACAGGTGTCAGGTGGTCCGAGTCAGGTATGACGCTAACGAAAGCTCTGATATGGACGACATCGTAAATGCCTTTCAGCCCGGCCGGCAGCGGTTTCTTAAGAATATCAAGCTTCTTGAGCGATACAGACGTTGGAAGGTATGCTGGGTCCGGAAAATTAATAGGGTTGATGTCGAAGCCATCTAACTGGGCAGAGACACCGTCCTTCGCAAGGCTAGAGTGTAGTTCGCTTAGCCATATGCCATTGCCGCAGGCGAGGTCGGCAACCTTTAGCTGCTGGGAGCTACTACCGACAGACTTCGCCACGGTTGGTTCTAGGAGATAGCCAAGGGTGTTCTGGACGAGGAAATGCTGTAGGTGCAAGCGCGCAGAAGATCGGAAGTTCCTGGCCGGAGCGACCCAGTACTTGGACTGATCATAGTCCTCGGCGTTGGCGGATGATGTCGCCATCTTGACTGAGATCTCCTACGGAAGAAGGTATGGACGGGAAATGTTTATGTGAGAGGGGAATCAGGAGGGCAATTGCAACTGAATGAATTTGCTTGATCCAATGGCGATAAGCGTTTATATGGTTGTAGGTTCATATGTTTAGGGGCAACCTAAGTACTCAATAGTTTTTCGACAAACAACCTCATCCATGGGGTTCAGGCAAGTGCATCGCTAAGCCGAGTTACAAAGAAATCCATGGAGATATTAATAGTGTGATGGTACTTTATGGAGGTGCGTTGCACACACCTTAGGTACCTACCTGTACACGAATCGGAGAGCAACAAAGACTGCGTACGCAGGGATGGCAGGTGATATTACATGTAAGGAGACTCATGCGACTAAACATAACTACATACTTAACACTTACAAATCCGCTATAACACCCTGCAAGGGACTAACCCCTGGATAGGTCAGCTATGCGGAGGTATATTTAGCTCGTGTGATTTACAAGAATTGGGTAATGCAGAGTTGAGTCTGCATATCCAACATACCATCCCAACCAACACGTTAATTCGGGTCTGTGGAGAGGACTGCATCAATCTTTCAACTGCTATAGCTAAACTTAAAGGCAGAAATGGGCGCCGCAGTCGATGTAATCGTTCAGAGCTACTTTAAAGACCATTTGGAAAAGAAACCAAATCGCCAAGCCAGAATGAAGGTTGCACGATACGTAGTCAACATTGAGATCGAATATATGTGCTTTGGCGAGGTATGATATTCCTCGTAAATTTCGTAAAACCTTGGATACTGAGCTTATGGTACAAATAGTAATTGGCAGAACGTTTTTTTTTTTTGACGCCAGCTCCAACATGGAACCAGTCTTTTTTGGATCTCGGGGAAACCAGGATTAGGTAAATCGACTCTGATGAACTACATCGCCGAACATAAAGCAACTTTACCCGCATTGAATACCTGGTCTCATTCGCAGCCTATGGTTGTGGCTGGCCACTTCTTCTGGAGTGCTGGCACATCAATGCAAAAATCAAGAGAGGGTCTTCTCAGAACGTCACTTTATGACATATTTCGACAACAACTGGACCTCATCGAGGTTCTATGCCCCGAACGATACTTAGAGAGTCCCAAAAACTTGGTATGTTACGAACTATGGCATAGGCCGGAGCTTATGCGAGCCATAGAGCACATCTTTCGATATGACAACCTCTCCATGAAATCCCGCTTTTTCATCGGCGCCCTAGACGAGTTTCAGGGTGAACATTTCGCATTTTATCAAGCGCTGAAAAGAAAATTCAAGTTCGGCCCATGTGAAACTCTGCATCTCGAATCGGCCTTGAAATCTTTTGGAGGATTAGTTGAGCCGAGATATCTCATCTGAATTGTGTATTCACGACTTCACATAGGATGATATCCATAAAAATGCGAGAGACTCTCTAGAAGAGCACCTTAGATATGTTGTACTTAACATTGAGATGGAAAACGCAAACTCTCTAGCAATCCAAGTCACGCAGAGGTCAGCCAGTGTATTTCTCCAGGTCTTCTTAGCCGTCAGAGGATTGCGATTCGGCTTGACTGAGTACGACAATTGATCAGACCTAAAGCGACGACTTCAAGCGATTCCAAGCGATCTAGCGGCTTTTTTCAAACGGATTCTCTGACCTGTTGACCAGTTTTATCATGAAATAATGGCAAAGACATTACTAAAGGTCTCCGTTATAGTCAGAGAGCCGGAATTTATCGTTATAGACAACTTTCTCGCCATGGAGCACGAAGATGAAGACTATGCCCTTGAACTTCCAATCTAAGCGGCAAATGTCAAAAAAATGACGCCAAATCTTCATACACTCTGTCGGCGCCTCAATGCAAGTAGCCGGGGCCTCCTAGAAGTTAATCACGAAAGCCATTGCGTGGAGTTTCTTCATAGTAACTCGATGGACTACCTAAAGTCTGGTGAAACGGTCAGTTTTCTAGAAGGAAAGATCACAAGCAAACCCAACAGAAACCTGCCGCTTATGAAAGCTTTCACTGTCCGTATAAAGACAGCTAACCTCTCCAATTCTTTCGAGAAGGCTCGTAATCGTTCGAAGTTGGAAGAATTTTGAAGGAAGCCATTACTTATGCCCAACGACTCAGCAATACACAAACTTATTAACTATTTGAACATCTGAAATGGTGTACCCGAGAGATTCGTAAGGACCCCTCAAAACATGTGGCATTTAACAGCGATGAGACGGATGAGTTGCTAGTGCGCAATCACACAATGGAAGCTTCGTTTCTCGAATATTTTAACTATATATTACCGAGAATTCCTAAATATCTCTCTAGCCGCAAAGGAAACGCTTTAATTAAAGTCCTCAGATATTTACCTACGCATCAGCTGGCATACTAAGAGAGAAAAATTACTGCCGCCATAAGAATATGCTCGGATATCTCCTAAAACATGGCGCTGAGCCAAATATCAGAGTCGGCAAGGATAGAGAAGGCATTGTCACCTGGGTCCAGCTTGCTTATTATTTCTGCTGGATCGGCCCCCTAACACTTTGTGGTAGAAAATTAGTCCTTGAGGTCCTTAATGGTTATAAAGCAGTCTGCACTATCAAGCTGTGTGCCCTCAAAAAGATGAAGATCTGCAAGCTCTTAGGGACTTAATACCAGGCATCAGTCTTATTCAACTTTTCGATGATTTACCCACGGACGTTTCTAGCACGCCTTTCTTCGCTGAAGTCATAGAAAGACTCTCCATGGCCAAAATGTACTAAGATGATATAAATAAGTATTTGGCTGATTATAGAGGAAAAGTTCCCGCTTCCATATCTTACACACCTGAGGTGTCAGTAATAGGTCCCTAAGTCAAGCGTAAAGTGAGTGCAAAGGAGCGGCGTAGCCGCTGCTAGTATATAGCAAGTATGAGATGAACTAATAACGCTACTTCTCCTAAGGTTGAAGGGGGCGAAGCCCCCTTCTTATACCTCGCTAACTCGCGCTTGCCTAGCAGGAGGTCCGCAGGAGGTCCGCAGGACCTCCTTCTAGGCCTGCTCCACTTATGCCCCTGACATGAGGACCAAAATCGTCGGCACCAAGATCGGTAAACAGGTGGAACTACTTGTTGACAATCATTCATCCGAACCAAATCGGAAACGGAAACATCTGCAGGAAGGGGAGTTGACGTGTAAAAGATGGAGGAGTATCTAGTCCAAGGTTGGTTGCTTAGGTATATCGCTGTCTTCTGATCACAACGAGGGATAACAGAATTCTTTAAAGTGCTTCGATGATTCACAAAGCTGAAGTTAGCATATCAAAATAATTAGATACCTAGGTACTATTTTGGCTGTCTACAAGGACATGGGTGGGTAGGTATGAAGATAGGTAGTCTTCTGAAGTCGAGGTGTAGTATAAAGGATTTATTCTACAGAGATACTCAAGCGGCGGCTTATTTTATGGTAAAACGATACTTAAAGTACGGTGTTGATCTTAGATATCTTGTGTGATCCTAAGGAGCCAGAGATCCTGACCTCTTCAATTGGCCCCTATTCCGCTACGTTGTGGCTATTGGTATAATAGTCCAACTACAAATGGGTATTATTATCCCTTTAACTGCAGTAAATGCCAATTACATTATCCTTAATTACCTAATTATTGATAACTTTCAACATCCAGATACCCTTGAGGAATCTATAACAGTGTGCACATTCATGTCATTAATAATAATGTGAAATTATTGACCGAGGTTACGGTTACCTCATGAGGGGAAGCATGTGGTGGTGGAAAACGATAGGCGGAAGAATGTATCCTTTGGTTGTTGATTTGTAGTTCCCCGCTGCTAGAATTGTTAACCGTCGTTTCGAAATGAATCTTGTCTCTGTAGTCTTGTTCTTCCTATAATTATAAGCCCAAGTATATCGCCATCTCCACAAAAGCCTGAGTGCTGCTAATCCCAAATGGCATTTCCATTGAGAAAAGACTTGCGGCCAAAATCAGGCGAACCTGAAGATTCAGCATGGATATGGGGCAGCGATGATGAGGTGTGTTGACTCGCACATAATGTAGCTGTAGCGGTAAACTGAGATCATTCAAGTTGGGTAGACTGAACTTGCAGACGCCAGAGAGGGTGAAGAAAGCGTTGGAAACCGTTTCTTCAGGAGAAACTATTCCTCTTGGGTCAGTGCAGCACTTTAGCCATGCTCTATCATAATATGGGTGAATGAATCTCCTTACTAACTTGTGTCTTAGACTTCCATTTGACCAACCAGCACCACCGTGCTACGGGAGAGCTTTCTTCAAGCATCGCATTGCTTCTCTGGGAGCTAAACATACGGTTGATGATAGTTACGAGATGAACCCTCAAAGCACATCTCAATGGGATGGGTTTCGCCATGTGAGTTTAAGCTATAGCTAGAAAAACCTGTTCAACTAGGACTAATTTGGTGTAGTTCGCCCATGTACCCTCTGGATTCTTCTACAACGGAGTAAGTAAAGCCTTTAGAAAGAAGGGACCTATGATTAATATGTTCCGTAGATGACGCTTGAGGACATCTCTGGCCCCAATGCCTCAACTAAATGTGGTATACACGCATGGGCTACTCGTGGCATTGCAGGCCGGGGTCTTCTTCTAGACTACGCTCGTTATGCCGAAGCTAATGATATCAAGCCAGAGTTCTATGACAACTTCGGTATCAGTTATGGGGACCTTGTGAAGGTAGCACAGGGGCAAGGGATCGATTTAAGACCTGCAGCGCAAGGAGGTGACATCCAGGTTGGCGACATACTAATAGTCAGATCCGGTTTCTTGAAGAATGCAAACTCGCTCACATACGAGCAAAAGGCAGCTCGCCACCTTCAAGCGCATAAGTTTGGACCGGACGACGGACAGCGCTATATTGGCGTGGAACAGAGTGAGGAGATCCTAGACTTCTTGCATGATTCTTACTTTTCGGCCGTGGCGGGAGATCAGCCCGCGTTTGAAGCATGGCCATCTCGTAAAGGTTTGTGTTTATCATTTCTCTGCAAGACTCTGCAAAAAGGGGCAATGCTGACATGACGTACTAAATGCTAGACTATTATCTCCATGAGAAGCTGTTGGCACTCTGGGGTTGTCCAATCGGTGAATTGTGGGATCTTGAAAAACTGGCCGAGAAATGTGCTGAGAGGCAGCAATGGACGTTCTTCCTCGCCAGTGCTCCCAACAACGTCAAAGGTAAGCATATAGCATGATATGCCGAGTTAGATTTGAGATATAGCTAACGAGAATTTACGATAGGAGGAGTATCAAGCACAGCAAATGCTTTAGCCATTGTATGAAACAGATGAATCGAATTGGATAATTCACCGAATGAACTGCATCATGGGAGTGAGTGACGGTCGCGAGGAATATGAATGGAATATTGAATGAGAAAGCCGCATCATAGTGGTGACCCCTGAACCCTCCACGGCTGCTGTAAAAGGGGGAACTAAAAAGGGGCTAGGACGCTACCTAGGAGGCCAGTAAATATTCGTCAGATATACTTCGCCTTACTGTGACAAATTGCCTACTAGCACCGAGACAATTTATGGGTGATGAGACGAGATCCTGAGCATTTTAGATCCTATGGCCGTACTTGAAAGGAGATTGTATGGGGATTTCCGATAGAGGAGAATGATGAATGAAAGGTAGGTACCCAAGTACTTATTGACACAGCCATTATCTCCACGTGACCAGATCTTATCTAGCTGACCAAGCTTGGCGCTCGGACCAATCAATTGAATATTGCAAGGCAGGCGTGAGCTTTCGTCGCCTCGCATCAACGTACCGACGTATCTGAGCTTCCATCATCGTAACTTTTACCACTTTCCATCTACCGTTCATCATCCACCAACCACCGCACTAATTACTACATTTCAAAAGAACTCACAACAGGCCTCCATATAGGTTCTATCCCGAGTATATTGCGCCTCAATCTGTTTACATTTTACGCCGTTGCAAGAGTAGAGAAACCATGGCGGACGCAGCTCTGAAGCCCGAAAAGGACTTCAGCAGGGAAGCTGACACACAGATCGCCGAAGCAGAGAAGCTCGCCAAGGTGCGATGTGCTTGACTACAGATCCTGAATGTTGCAATAGTTAGCTAATATAGAAGGGTAGAATGATATCCAAGCAGCTATTGAGAAGCTGACTATATTCGAGAAGCAAACTCGCCAGGTCAGCCGTTGCCGCGAGTCACCATCGCTTTGGAGTATTTACTAACCCTCCCACCCAGGCTTCCGACCTTGCATCCACATCCAGAACTCTCGTCGCCATATGTACGATCTGCAAAGATGCCGGCAACTGGAGTTTACTCAATGACCAGGTCTTGATCTTCTCCAAGAAACATGGCCAGCTCAAGCAGGCTATCACCAAGATGGTCCAGACCGTCATGTCCTTCCTCGATGCTACCCCGAACCTGGACACCAAGCTTACTGTCATTGAGACGCTACGCACCGTAACCGAGGGCAAGATTTTTGTCGAGGTTGAGCGCGCTCGCGTGACCAGGATCCTGTCTGACATCAAGAAGCAACAAGGCGACCTCAAGTCCGCCATGGACATTCTCTGCGAATTGCAGGTCGAAACCTTCGGATCGATGGAGAGACGTGAGAAGACCGAATTCATACTTGCCCAAGTCGCACTATGTATCGAAAACGGCGACTGGACCCAGGCTAGTATTCTTAGCCGCAAGATCAGCACCCGATATTTGTCGCGGAAGCCCAAGAAGACGCCAGAGCAGATCGAGAAAGAGAAGAAGGTTCGGGAAGAGAAGCTGAAGCGCGGCGAAGAAGTACCTCCCGAGCAAGAGGATGATACTACCGACTTGAAGCTGGCCTACTATGAACAGCAGATTACTTTGGCGAAGCACGATGACAAATATCTCGATGCTTGCAAACACTACCGACAAGTGTTAGACACCGAAGCCGTCGAGGAAGACCCTTCAAAACTACAACCTGTGCGGCTGCCGATCCATATACCCAATCTGCTGAATATTGCTAACTTTGACTAGGTCCTGCAACGTATCATCTACTTCGTTATCCTTGCCCCTCACGACAACGAACAACACGATCTTCTCCAGCGCGTCTTCCGCGACGCACGGAATTCTCAGATCCCTATCGACGCATCATTGCTTAAGCTATTCACGGTGCACGAACTTATGCGATGGCCTGAGGTCGCCAAGCAATACGGCCCGCATCTATGCGGGACTGACATTTTTGATGAACATCCGAATCAATCCAAAGACGAAAAGGCCCACCAGCGATGGCAGGACCTGCGCAAGCGCGTCATCGAACACAACGTTAGAGTTGTCGCCAAGTACTACACTCGCATTGGCATGAAGCGCCTTACCCAGCTACTTGACTTGACGGAGGATGAGACGGAGAAGTACATCAGTGAGCTGGTATGCTCTAAGACGGTCTTCGCTCGTATCGACCGACCGGCACGCATAGTCAGCTTCGCCAAGCCTAGAGACGTTGATGACATCCTCAACGAGTGGAGCCACAATATGAAGAGTCTGCTCGGTCTGTTGGAACGCGTGGATCACCTGATCACGAAGGAGGAGATGATGGCCAGAATCCAACCGGGCGCAAAGGAAGGCAAGGAGAAGAAAGGCAAGAAGAAGGCGTAAGGGTGTGATTCATGCTTTACGAGGGCTCGGTCTTAGGGGAGTAATTCTTTCGGAGCTGCAGACGGCTTGGAATTTTTCGACAGGCACAGCACAGCACAGGTTTGCATCAAAAGGCATGCGAATGTAACATTACCTAGATTAGGAGGCACGGAATGCCCGTGTAGAACTGGATTGGCCTTCTATGTCTTATGCTTGATTATTTACTCTATCGTGATCATGCAGTCATACAGGTGATATTTTCTATGTCTAGTTCTAGCTCTACGTTATAGTCGCCGTATACGCCTTCTCTATTTATACCCCTACCAATAGACCTACTCGTCCGTTCACCCTCTTCAACCAGATACACAATCATAGATTCCCCTCTTCCTTCTTCGCCGTACCAGCAGGCTCATCATACCGCTTCCTCAGCCACCCCGCCAGAACCAGCACCCAGTCCTTGGCCACCGGCACGTAGTGGCCGCCCGGGTGCACGACGACGGTCGGGTCGACGCACCGGTCGACCAGCCCCTGACTCCGGCTCTCCTCGACCACGGTGTCCAAAGACCCGAGGAAGTGCAGCGTCGGCGTGGCGATGGGCGGCGCGTACAGCCACCCCAGGGTCGGGGGCGGCGCGTAGAAGCCGCTGTAGACGACGCAGAATTTCAAAGGGGCGTCGTTGTTCGCGGCGCGGAGGAGGGGGAGCCAGGATGTGTCCGTTTCTGGGGAAGGGGAAGGGGCTGGTTCCCGGTGCGGCTTTTCGAGGGCAGAGGCTACGAGCGCGGCTACAGCGCCCCCCTGGCTGAATCCGCAGACCCCGTCTACGCCGCCCGCGTCGGCGATCGCGGTCGCGACGGCGCGCATCCCGGCTTCGAAACCAAGGTACGTGCCCGTTGCTTCGTCTTTGCGGAACCAGGCCCAGTTGTCGCTCTCGTCATCTTCTTCGGCTTCTGCGCCTTCGGCTCCGTCTGAAGGCGTGTACCCCGGGATATCGGAGGGGCGCAGCCGGTGTGGCGCCGTGGGGAAGATGAGGGTCGGGTGCAGGTTATATGGTGCTGGGGACAGGGCTTTGGTGAGTAGCTTCGAGAGCGCTTTGGTCTTGGAGCTGAAGAGCGGGCCGGATTGCGTGTACCCGTGCAGCATGAGGATCTTTAGCTCGGTCTTTCCTTTGGGGATTTGTGGGGTCTTTTTTGGCTGGGATGCCGGGGCTCCGTTGGGTGTTGTTGCCGACATGGTGAAGGGGCGGAGATGGTGGGGTGCGGAGGCGAAGGTGCGGCGGATGAAGGTGGTGCGTGGGAGGAGTGGGATGAGGGGTTTCATGAAATGAGGGTTGTAGATTTTATGAATCTTACTTTATTTTTATCGTTTTGAGGTGTGTTTTATGAGAGGATGTCTGCGATTGGACTGTGTAGTGGATGAGTGAGTGAATCTCGTGATTCGGGAATTTTTAAGCTGACAGTCTAGATTGGACCGAGATTCGGCTAGATCGTAGATACGCTACCACTTGGACGTTTGACAACAGAGAGTCAATCCTAATAGGTGAACAAGCAATTAAATGTTTAGAAGCGATTATTAGATATATTTTCATTTAATGTCGTACTATTCAAAGCGTTGTATCTCAGATCCACTGTTATGCTCGAGTTATTGTTCTATGGCTCACTGTATAAAAGGCTCGGACCTACGGATCTAGACGGCATCGAGGCGTGGAATATTATGGATAGCATAGAAGCTAGAGGCCTATCTTTTTTATGCCGGGAATTGATGAAGAATATATCAGATACTGGCCAAGTTTAAATATACCGAAGAGTCGGGAATCAGCTCTTCTCGGAGACGTTGTGGTCCGTATATATGTTTAATGAGCGGGCAATTGATTTCAATAGGGTCAATATTACGGCTTCCACGAGCAGGTTTTTCGAGTCTCAGGTTGCGCTCGCAATTCAAACATGATGCTGATACGATACCCAGGTTGTGGAGTCCATGGGACGATACCTGCGTAAGCGAGCGCAATAGAAACACCATATCATAAGTTTCTCTTAAGTTCAGCAGTTGAAATCGGTCCGCAGCACAGATAGATAGGTATTGCTTGCGACAAAGCTCTCGATTCGACGTAAGCTCGTAATCTATGGTACAGTCCTGCCCTGCTTGACGAGAAGAATGATCTGACCGTATTGACCGTCTATGATGTTCCTCGTTCGGAATGGTACACCGCTTTCTTCAAGTCCACCATCGTTCTAATGTCCCTTTGACTTGGCATAGGGGTTGCGAGGATCGTTCTTCCATTCATCGGCTATTGCGATTTTGTCAGTTATTTTCCCCTCTCCACCTAGGTCACAGCGAAAGACATACACTTCATCATGGCATTTTGCGCTGAGTTGACACCGTAGGCGATGATAGCGCCTATAAATCTGTTAGATATAGCTATTCGAAGGTAGTGGTCCTCGCGCAAGGATCGTCTGTCATCGTACCAGCAGCCATGAAGGGGGCCATCGTCTTGACTATTGATCATGTCAGTAGCTGTCGCAAAATGTGCGAAGTACCCGTGCAGGTTGCAGAGGAGTCAATTGACGTACAGAAAGGCGCCGGGAATTTCTTGAGGGGAGTAACACCGAGCCAAGACATCTTGAATGTGTTTTTGGGGGAGTTGGGGGTAGACGGTGTTATAGTATTGAATGATGGAAGTTGTGATTTCGGAACGAGTGGTTTTCTTAGGATGTGCTCTTCTGCCGCTAACCGGAACTTGACGATTGTTGCCTTAGTAAATTTGGTGTTAAAGAAAAGATGCCTGAGGCTAGAATTGCTAATATTATGTAAGTGAACGATGTACCTGCTGAAAGCCGCTAGTGCCGGATCCAGGGTTAACGATTTTGCCGGGGAACTAACGTGCTAGGTAGTAGGTCCTTGTGACATCATTATGCCATGTACTGGGCCGCTGGGGTAAGTAACACCTACAAAATAGGTAGGACCGACCTGAAGCTCTTGGAGGTGTTCTCCACATGTGCTAACACTATTGAACATCAAAAAGCTGGGGAAATCGCGCTGGTATGAACTTATATAGTACGACTAGTATGACCTTTCAGACACCTGGACACTTCCCGTGTAAATGCGGGGGAATAGAATAAATGCTAACCAATTAATCCTAAACTCTACCCTCCATCATCTAAAATCTACTTCTGATTCTTCCGTCTCGTTGTGCTCCAGGCCTCTCGTCTCCCAAAACTCAACTGCCTCGCGGAACGTCCATCACTGCTTACAGCCTGCCTATCGCCTTCAAAGGATTGGAAGTTGGAACTTCCCCGCGAAATAGATACCGCATATCTGCAGCTACCCTTGTACCTACATATCACCGCTACCAGCAACCACCAGCATCACTTAACACCTATCACTACCATTATCACCTTGCCTTCCACCTACCACCTTACCTTTAACATCCCTCTCATATTGTCCAATCCCGACTCGAGCATTCTTCAGCAAAAGTCACCGGAGTCACCGTGCTTCGTCAACTAAGCCCGCGCCAAATACGGCGCTCTCATCTCCATATCCACACTCTTCCAAACTTCTCCCAGCTTCCGCTCAAACCACAAACCATCACTTCCCCTTCTTACATAACTCCAACATTCGCCTTTGTTCTCTTTCATCGCCTTTCACTTCCCCTCTCTCAAAAACACCCATAACTACAAACACCATCATGTTTACCCGACGTATCGCCCGAGCAGCAGTGGTAGCTCCACGCTCTTTGCGAGCGTTCAGCTCCACTGCCGCTAACCAGCGTACACCCATCTTGGCCGACATTACACCTGATGGCGTCGACTCGTTCAATTCAAAGCAGAAGGACTTCCGCGAGCAGTTGGTGAAAGCACAGCAGGAGAGAGAAGCAAGTAGGTCCACTACAACTCCCTCTGATCCTATTAACAATTCCTTGGCCGGTGCCCGTGAATCCACCCAGGGCTTGGGCTCATTAAGCACGCACACAGGACAACGAGCGGAGGCATCAACTAAGGAACCCGATCGGCCCGATGGCCTTCTTAGCAGAGTCATCTACGGAACTAAGGAAGGACGCGAGCTGGATGCTCAGCTTGAAGCGAGCTTCTCCGCAGTCCTAGCTCGCGGAAAATATGTTCACTCAATCGTATTCCACCAGGTGAAGCCCGACAAGGTAGATGAGTATGTTGAATTGGTCGGCACCTGGTATCCACGCATGGCCTCCATAGAGGAGAATAAGGTTCATCTTGTTGGAAGTTGGCGAACTGAAGTCGGCGATTGCGATACATTCGGTAAGCTACCCCAACCGATCTTATCCTGGCGGATTGGTTGTAATAGCACGCTAATGGAGTAATCTAAAGTTCACATCTGGGAATACCAACGCTACCAAGGATACCACCAATCACTGCATTCCATCTCTAGACACCCCGACTTCCCCGAATTTGACAAGAAGCTTAAGACGCTAGTCACGTCGAAGAACACATCGATCATGCAAGAATTCTCGTTTTGGCCAACCACCTCTCCACGCCAACTGGGCGGCCTATTCGAGCTACGTTCGTACACTCTCCACCCTGGTAACTTGCTAGAGTGGGAGACCCACTGGCGACGAGGTCTGAAGGCACGAAGAGAAGTCATGGAAGGCGTAGGAGCCTGGTTCGTGCAGATCGGCGATCTTAACACCGTCCATCATCTCTGGCAATTTGCCAATTTGGAGGAGCGAAAGGTCCGAAGGGAGGAGAGCTGGAAGCAGGAAGGTTGGGCAGAGACGGTCCACAAGACCGTTCCCCTAATCCAGACCATGAAATCGAGAATCCTTATCCCGATGCCGTGGTCGCCTGTGGCCTAAAGCTCTTGTAAGGCATAGGAAGGGCAAATGCGTGTGATGGATGATTTCTGGACCTAACAAAGCATTGAATCGGAGAATCGGAGTTTGGAGGGTACCTAGGCAGTGATCTCTTTTATGGCTATGCTGTAGGGATGGTATGTAGGAACTTGCTAAGGGACCTAGGTATTGTACGCTTAGGTATTGCTGCTGAGATGGGAAGTCGTTATACGAAAACTTGGAGCGGAAAATCTGAAAATCGTGCCCCGAGGGATATGGCTATTTGACTGGTAGCAATGCGAACCGTTTCGCTTGTTTTCTTTTATTTGGCAACGCTGTTATATTCATGTGCTTTCCTGCCTACCTAAGCAAGGTGTCAGATCTCAGATATCGCTTTGCTTCATCGTAATAGTTCCACGTAAACCTCAGAACTCCATTCCGTAATGCAATGGTCCCAGTTCGGCCCCAATTTTTTTATTATATCAATCCTCTACCTCCTCCCCCATAACAGCAGCTAAATTCCTCCTCGCTAAGCCCAGCGTGTTCCCCAACGCGGTCAACTTCGCGGACAGCGAGAGCAAGCTCGGATCCGCGCTCTCGACGCACACCTTCTCGCGCACGTAGACCTCGACGCCCTTCCTCCCTTCTACTTGGGATTGCGACTGTGACTGCGCCTCGCCGCCCTCGTCGAGCGCGGTCGAGTCGTCGCACCGGTACGTGAACACCCTGTCGGCCTCGTCGTGCTCGAGGCGCCGCGTCGTGCCGATGGCGAGCGCGAGCTTGGTGCCGAAGTTGACGGGCGCGTCGGCCGGCTCGAGGGCTCGCAGGTATAGGACTAGCGAGGCGTCTTGGACTGTCAGGTATACGGATAGGTTACGGCTTAAAGGCGGGGTGAAGTGGGAGAGCGAGATCGAGGATGTGGTCCAGGATGTGTCGGGTGGTTGTTGTTGTTGCTGTTGTTGTTGTTGGAGGTGTTGTTTTTGCTGTTCGGCGGATAAGCGCGGGCTGGACGCGCTGGAGCTGGGGCGGGGTGTGGTCGGACGTCCGGTATTAGACGGGGGCCGGCTTCGTGGGGACGGGCTAGGCGACGGGTGCGGGTGCGGGTGCGCGGGCCCCTTGACCAGAGCCGCCGCCTCCGCGACATGCAGGGCCAGCAGACGCAGCTGCGCCGCCAGGTACGGCGCCGACGGCTGCTCCGCGTGCTCCTCGAGCCCGAGGCACAGGCCCACGCTGCTCGCGAGCAGGGCGTCCAGGCGCGCGAGCGCGGCGACGCGGACGGGCCGCGCCGGGTCCAGGACTAGCGTCTGCGGCGGCACGGTGCGCAGCTTCAGGTGGATCAGCCCGCGCACGAGGCGCGTGCCGACGCGCGTCGTGTGTCCTTTTACCGTCTCGTTGCGCGGCGTTGTGAGGACGAGGGTGCTGCCTGATGATGTGTCGTTGTCGCTTGGCGATAGGAGGGAGCAGCAGTCTTCTAATCCTTGTTTTAGTTGCGAGAGGGTTGCGCGCAGGGAGGTTAGGAGCCAGGTTAGTTCGCGGGCCTGTGGGGGTGGTTGTGAGCTTGAGTTGAGCTTGAGTTTGGGTGTGAGGGGGGAGGTAGGGTTAGGTATGGGCGATGGGGGGTGAATCCGGGCGAGCGGGAGGGTGAGGGTGATGGGCCGCGGGACGAGGACGAAGTTGTCTTCGACTGTGAAGGTGCCATCTTCGACGAGGAGCATGGTGGTTGGGTGGGGAGGTAGCTACGTGTGTACGACGTGTTCTTACACGGGTGTTATCGTGGGATCGCGAATCGTACCTGAGTGGCGTCTTCCTGGATTTTAAGCTCGTCCGGCGAGATGGGAGGCCAGATCTCAACGGACATCGTGGACGTAGGCCGGCGTAGGCAGCCGCATTTCAAGGGGCCATTTGACGGTAGGGGCGAGGATCGTGAGGTGTCCCTTTGGAGGTTCGGGAACTACAGAATATGAATGTTGTAGCCTGTTAGGTATCTGTATATCTGTATTCTTGTGTACCTAGCTTGAACTGGTGATGTTGAAGCTAGAACGACTTGATTGGATAGGGGACGACGGCCTGACGGTTAAGCTAAGTTAAGCTCCGCTAACGATAACGATGTGGGGCCAACCTTATCATCTTGCTAGGCCCCACGTCATTTTTACTTCTATCAGTTCTCGAATCGAATTGAAACTTTAGTCCTTCTATTATTTGGCTGCCTTCTCAGTCATCCGGCGTAAAAATAATCGGCGATATCCACAAATGTGACCACAGTGTTCGAATTGTGTATGAGAGACGAGAGGGGGAGAAATAATCCGAGTCTTCATACGCAATGACTATGGCTACCGAGCAGATGCCGGACGCCTCTTTGCAGGCCCCGGAAAACGCCAATCAGCCAGCGAAACTGCCAGCTATACCCAAAGGTTGGTCCAATTAGTCGACTGAAATGCGATAGCACTATATAATTAACACAAATTCAGGAGCCACCGTCCGAAGACGTCCCATACCAACGCGCATCCCCTCCACGCGCGCGTCCAAGCGCATCTACATCACCGCCAAGACGCCCTTCCGGTCCGTGACGGCGCGCGTGCGCAAGCAGCTCGACAAGAACCTGCGCCAGGCCTCGTCCGCGAGTAACGCGTTCACGAATAAGCTGGCCGCCAACAAGGGTGCGTCACTGGACGACCGGGTCCGCGCCATCCAGCGACACTCCTCTCAGGCCTCGAAAGGCAGTGGTAACGGTAACGGTAGCGGGAACGGGGTGGCGACGGGACTCGAGAATGCCGGCGAGGTTGTGGTCCTAGGTACCGGGCGCGCTATCCAGAAGGTCGTCGAGGTCGCGCTGTTCTTCCAGAAGCAGAACGATTGTATCGTACAGATGAAGACGGGGAGCGTGGGCGCGATCGACGACGTGGTTCAGGAGGGGGATGAGGAGTGGGGTGGTGAGGGCGAGGAGAGGGTCAGGATGATGAGCTCGTTGGAGGCGTCGATTAGGCTTAGGTGATGTGCCGATTGGTCGCGTGGGAAATGCGGCCGCTTACCTAATTTGGGAGAGTATTCGAGCTCTACGAGGGTCACGCTTTGGGTTCACTCCGTAAAAGGATGGACGAGTTGACTCTTATAGGACTTATGAGTATTCTTTACTCCCCAGCCTATCTACACCCTTCTCGCCATCCTCGCTAGCCTGGCGTCGCACGGCGGCAAAAGACGATATATCGAGGAATATTATGGATATGCCCATAATTAATAGTCACAAGGCCAAGATGGAGGAAATCAGGCACAACGGAAACCAGACGGATAGGACAAACTCATGTTGTACCACGATCTGAAAACGACACAAACTTGGCCCGGGCTTCGGGTATAGCTAAGGAGTTCAAGCTGCATACTAATGGTCCGCGAAGGAAAATGGCAAACTCGAGCATAGGATATGGGCAATATGAAGATGCCCTCATTATTCCATGTCTATGCCGTTTCGCGATCAACTTCGCCAGAGGCTTTGTATATGGAAGTGAATGGAGTAAGAGTATAGTATGTTAAGATTATTTGGCGGCTATAATTCAGCTTCGTGAGTACCTAATCAAAACTGCCGCCTCGCCATTCAATATAACGAAATCAGCCCTCCATACAGAAATAAAAACGTAAATCAAGACCAGAATAAGTATGGAAATGTTCTTATCTCTAAACTAATTCTTATTTCTACCTACGGTCCTAACTGGCCGCGATCTCGGACCTCCAATCGGAACTAGACCGTCCTACTGAGGGGCAGGCCGCCGCCGGTGCTATTATACAGATAAGCAAGCGCGTATACCTCGATCGCAAACCTACCAACTCCCATACGTAGCTCGTGATAATTGTAATATCCAAGTCTACCTAGGTAACCACCATGGCGCAACCCTCGTACGTAATCGTCGGCGCCGGCGTCTTCGGCACCTCCACAGCCCTACACCTAATTACCAAGTTCCCAGACGCCTCCGTGACGCTGGTCGACCGCAACGGGCCCGCGGAACCGAGCCGCGTGGCCGCCTCCTGGGACTGGAACAAGGTGGTCCGCGCCGACTACCGCGACGCGACGTACTGCGCGCTCGCGCTCGCGGCGCAGGACGTCTGGCGCCAAGACCCGCTGTGGGCGCCCTTCTTCCGCCAGAGCGGCATCTTCTGGATCAGTCCGACCGCGTTTGCGAGCGAGGTCGTGGGGAATTACAAGAAGTTGGGGAGAGATACGGGGGGGTTGGCGGAGGTCCCGGTTGAAGAGGCGAAGAAAGAGTTTGGAGGGTTGTTCCGCGAGGCGGAGTATGAGGGCGTGAGGAGGGTGCTGGTTAATACGACCAGCGGGTGGGCGGATGCGAAGGGGGCGCTGAGACGCGTTACGGAGCGCGCGGTGGAACTTGGGGTTAGGTTTGTGACGGGTGAGGTTGAGGGGTTGGTGTTTGAGGGGGAGAAGGGGGAGGGGGCGTGTGTTGGGGTGAAGATGCGGGATGGGGAGAGGATTGAGGCGACGCATACGATTTTATCGACGGGTGCGTACACGCCGAAGCTTTTGGACGGCGTGGCGGCGGCGACGGGGAGGGATGAGTTCTTGGTCGGGGAGAGGATGTTGGCGGCTGGGGTGACGACCGGGTTGGCGCAGCTGGATGATGAGACGGCGAAGGAGTTTGCGGGGATGCCGGTTTGTATTCAGGAGAATCCTCCGCATAGGGGTAAGCTGTGTCCTTACATATGATTATTGAAACCAGGCCAAATCAGACTGACTTCCAACGTAACAGGCGCGGATAACGGGAGCTTGCCTCTCACCGCGGACAACAAGCTAAAGTGGTGGGGGCAGACTATATTCAGGAATACCCAGACCATGCCCTCGGGCCGCCAGATCTCGGCGCCGCCGGCTCCTTCGGATTACGCGCAGTGGAAGGTCCCGGATACTCTTATCGAGGATATCAGACTGGCAAATCAATTCACCTTTGGGAAGCGCGGGGAGGCTTGGGAGATCAAGGAGCATCGTATTTGCTGGTGAGTTTTTATGCTACCCCCTTTTCTTTTTCTCCTTTCCCCATTTTCCCTACTAACGTGGGATATCCCAGGGACGCGTGGGCCCCGAGCGGTGACTTCATCATATCGCCGCACTCGGCCGCGAAGGGGCTCTACGTCGCGACGGCCGGGTCGTTCCACGGCTTCAAGTTCTTCCCTATCATCGGCTCTTACGTCGTGCAGATGTTGGAGGGCACGCTTGAGCCGGACCTAGCGAAGAGGTGGGCTTGGGATAGGGAGATCCCGGATGTGTCGAAGAAGACCTTCTGGCCGTGGACGGAGTTGAAAGATCTGATGTGATACTATACGTACGAGTCCGCAAGTTTATGATACAAAATTGGGAGTTGGGTGTTGGTCTTGGTTTTAGTCTCGCTTTGCGAATACGCTTTTGAACTGGCTTGACCTTCGAAATAAATAGCGAGTCAATGATAATAACAGCAGGCAGATTCTACCGCGCTTCTGTACGAGGAAGGGAATCTTTTATCACTAAAACAATTAAAGTAAAGCAGAGCTCTGCTAAAGTTTTGGTGAGCGGGTAGAACTCCTGAGTGATCATCAAATGCCACCCGCACAAACGTCTGCGAGATGATTTCAGTATTTAAAAATATTTAAATCAATTCCATCCATCGTTAGATAATCACGCACGCATCCCACACAGATCGTCCTGGTTGGGCCCTCAGAGATCTACACTTTACCATCTCGGCTAATTCATCTTCGTCTTGGCTACCTTTGATTTTCTACCTTATCCACAGATGGTACGAGGCGTTTTTATGTAGAAATCTGTTAACATCCTGAAAGATAGAGGATTACGAAGAAAACTGATTCGTAAAAATGATGTGTCGTTCGTCTATCCCATTTCTTTCCGGCGAGCCCGCACGCCTCCTGACCTTGTTTGGAACCACCATCACCACCACCACCACCTAAGGATAGATATGAGGTGTCGTATATTAATTATAGTCCTATGGCTGAGACATGCCGCCGCTGAGGCTCAGAAAGCCGAGGTACCCGATTGGCTCAAGGACTATAACTTCGACCCGCCTAGAGAGTGTAGTTCCGATCCCGCAGGCCCGTTGAATCCGAGGGAATCAAAGTCCATATGTCCGCTTCCGGTCGATGATGAGACTGCCTTTGAGAAGCGATCGTGGCATCCTTGGACATATCCCCCGATGTGTGTGGAGGCTGAGAAGGCGACAGATCCTAAGCTATGCGTATACACATATAGCAAACTACGGGGAGAAACGGGAATCAGCTTCGTCACCACTCCACAGACAGCTGCCGCTGGGACTGGCATCCTCGAAGACCTTGACCCGAGATGGGAAGAATGGGCCAGAGGCATACCTATGACCGTGTCCAATCCGCCTCCGTACGAGATCGTAGATCTCGAAAATAAAGGGATGGGCGTTGTTGCAAACCGCACCATTCGTAAGGACGAGGTGATCATGCTTAGACACCCCGTAATCGTCCGGATTTTGGACCCGAGGCCTTGGAAGCCCCAAGACGTGATGAAATTGCTTCACCGGGGCACAGTCCAACTCCCGCAAAAGCAGGGGCTAAAGATGCTGAAACTGGCCCATTCGAAGGGTGGGTATATCATCGACGATATCATCAACACGAATGCGTTTGGGGTGCTGGTGAATGGCGTGGATCATTCGGGGTTGTATCTCGATGTGTCGGTGAGTACCCGGGGAGACGTGAATATTGTGAAAGCGGTGCTAACTTGGTATACGTAGAGGCTAAACCATGCGTGCAAACCAAAGTACGTCTATGCAATTAGCTCTTTACAGATAAAATCCTACATGGCTGACATTTTCATTAGCATGTTCAGTCGGTTTTCTTCAACGACGCTAGGCATGGAAGTTGTGGCTTATAAAGACATCGAACCGGGCGAGGAGCTCACTTTTAGCTGTGAGTCCTCCTTTTAGCCAAGAATGATCTGCAACCTCTGACAGTCACGACAGATCTGCCATTGAATCTTGTATCCGAGCAGCGCAAGGCTCTCATCCGAGAATGGGGTTTCAATTGCAGCTGTTCCTTATGCACCGACTCAAAGGAGACCGCTATCTCAGATCGCCGCCGGGGTCGGATACAAGACCTACTCGCAGAATTGGACGACCCGGATATACGGAAACCTGCACCGGTCAAGAAGCGAGTTGACGAGATACTAGATTTATGCGAAAAGGAAGGGTTGGCGGCTCAAATCGGTGACTTCTATACCATTGTCGCGGAAGTGTACTCGAGCATGGGCGATCTCGAGTTGGCGACGAAATACGGAGAGTTAGCTGTGAAGGAGCTGAAGCATTATGCCGGGTACGATCATGAGCGGACCAAGAGTGCTACCTCATTCTTGGAGAAGTTACGTATAAAGAAGTGCGTATAAATGGGCAGTAATTCTTAAAGTTGGGATTCTAATACTATACTGCGGTTTATCGCGAAGGATGTATCATCCTTTCTTTTTATTATTATTTGGTTCCGTGTCCGTCCCTAACTCCTGCTAGTAAGGATAATACAATATTAGGGGGATTAACGACAGACAGGATCGCCCCATTTCACCTCTAGATCTCTTGGCGACCGGTCGCATTAAGCCGTCGCAGGCAGTGCAACATGTGCAAAAATATCAAGAGGATTCCCTTTTGACGCCATGCTCGTCCTAAAAACATCTTCTATATCACCTGTAATGATAGTTTTTTTCGTCATCCTTATTCTTGACAAAGTGTCTATAGCCAGCCCCTTTTTCTTCCCGTCTGTTAGGTGTAATATTTTTCGTAGGATTTTTGTAGTTATTAACGGATGAGAGGCTTCTTGTGCTATAGGCTACTTTTTGCCTTTGCTACTACCGTCACTAAGTTCTATGTCGTCGATTTGGAAGAGGATATCGTCGTCCGTATCTGGACTAACACTGTAACTCGTGCTGGACCTGTGCCCACCACCGCTCTGTCCATTGGTATTTTGCTGGCCGCTAGTTTGTTGGGTATTGATCACCAGATGGACGGTACCGTTGCTGCCTCTTCTTTTGGTCGTGGTGCTTGAGTAGGTCTTTTCACCGCCGGACATCTTGGCTGATTCAAGTGTGTCTAGGAAGAATTGGGCTAGAAGAAGCGATTATGTTGAGGGAAACGAGGGAATATTTTGCGATGAACGGTTCTTCGCAATGCAAGAACCAGTATGTGATATCTGGATTGCTCAATTTCGTTATGACTTCAGAACTGTCATGCAGGAAGATGCGGGGAGAACAAGTGGCATTCGACGTCGATTTTCACAATTATATAAAGAGATATTGTAATGTTTGCCATGCGTACATATATCGAAATGTTATTAGTCAGGGATTCATGAGCTGTGTCCTATGAGGGTTTATGCTCCTGAATGCTCCAATTAATCATGAGCACACTGAGAGTTTCTAACGTATGATTGTGAACCTGACGCATCTGCGCACCTGGTGGTAGTGCCGGAGCGGTGCTGGAGTGGTGCTGGAGTAGTGCTGGCGGTTTCCCTCACCCACGTTTACTTGATTGGGAATCGTCGACGAAAGCGGATCGCTGCATAATTCTACCTCATCGTACATGTACGTCCAACCTTGCTCCATAGTTGAAACTACCTCACTTATTAGGTAATGCGTATTCTGTCTCAACTTATCAGCGGTCCGGCCAATGACGGCCATGGATTTCCCTAGAATGGAAAACTCGTGCTCAATGGAAACCCCGCTCTGGTGAATTATGTAAAAGGGGTAATTTTTATACAACGGTCATGTGAGAACGTACGTTGTATCGTCGCTGGCGTCTTACTAATCAACGCTGGGCATACATCTGTAGTTATCGTCATTAATACAGGACACAATTAGCAATGGGTACAAATATGTATGAAAAGTAATACATCTAGAATGAAAGGAAATATTTGATGTCAATTATACATTGGAAAACATCGGGGGTAGAAAGTTAGGACCTTGTTACCCCCTTTTCCCTCTCAAAATGCCCTAAGAATTTGATCAAATGTCAACAAATCTCAAATTTACAGGAACAAGTTGATTCTTGCACCTTAAAGTAGTGAAACAAGAAAGGTTCATGACGTATGGAAAAGCTCTGGTACGATACCTTGGGTAGATATCATAGGAGGCAATTGATTAGGTGGTTGTGAATGTAGGGGGTGTCTTAATGACGGGGCACACATGAGGACCGACCAATCAGATTCGGAGTAGGGACGTCAATTACAAACTGGTTGGTGACTAGACTATCTATCGAGTCGTCCTAACAGACCATACCGTACCAACTACACTGGGAGGCCCAATAGCTGATGGGTAGGTTACCGTAACATAGGTAACCCCAGTGCAGTGGAATTTATCAAGACAGAAAAGGAAACAAAATGAGAAAAGGAAACGAAATGAGCAAAGCAATCCATGACTGTTTAGTGGCCAGTCTCCACCTGTAATTCCCTAGCAACACTCCAGCCCATATGGCATATTGGGAGTGGCTTTGACATCTAAAACCCAAGCAGTGACAATCTTATGAATCCGCCGTCTAACCAGGTTCCTTCCTCGACAATTGGCGTTGACATGTACAGGAGTCAGGATACCACATCTAAAGTTCCGTAACACTAGCACCCGGTGGCAGCTAACATGAATCCGTGCTCTCGAGAGCAAACAAGACGAGTCCACGTGGAGTGCTGATATGGAAAAAAGGTGTTCGGGGCTTAGGCCTCGTCACTATCCGACACCTCGGCCTCCGGTCGGGCACAACGCTTCGCGCCATTGCCCTTGGCCATCTTCTGCTGGCCCTTCTTCTCCATGGAGGCTCGCTCAGTCTTATTGCATTTGCGCTTCTTAGGAGAAGGAGCGGGGCTATTAATATCCGCATCCCAACCACTAGTAGTGGAGCTAGCGAGTCTGGTCTCCTTGGGAATCTGCGGCGCACCGGGAGTACGCTTCTTGGGAGTGGGTGCCGGGGTGGAAAAGTCGTTGTTATCGTTACCAATGCTGCCCTCAAACCAATGGTGCTTCTTGCACAACTGACGGAAACGCTCCCTGGCCACCTCGACTGTCTTGAATTCCAACTCTTCTCGAACTGCCTCCCACATGACGGCTGTGGGCTTGGCACTCTGGAGGCAATTCTTCAGAATGACATTGATAATCTCGGAGTCAATTGTGGGGAGAGAATTGTCAACAGCCTCGCCAGAGGCATTGTTCACCTTGTTGGAAGGCATCTAGGTAAAACATGTCGTTAATATAGGGTACTGGAGAGGCTAGATATCCCGATGGTGTGGGGTGTAGAAATGGGACGGAGCTGGGGAAATGAAACGGATACTTACTTTGTGCCGAATAATGAGGTCTTGACGATGCGATTGCACAAGGAACGTATTGCTTTCTTGTATGATGAATGAGATTCAATGAATTTGGCAAAGAGCAATATGTGCGAGGTGTTTAGGAGTGGGCAAGATAGGAGACGAACGGTAAAGTTGATGGAGCATACGCGAACGTAAAAGTTTTGTAAGGAAGAAATGAAAGTTTGGAAATTGGGTAGGAGAAATCAAGTGATAAGTAGTTTGGTTTAGTTGTGCGGACGGTAACGAGCGTAGCTACCAGGCAACCGTTGACAAGAATGAAAATGTAGTCACCGTGCAAAAAGGTGCAATTCTTGTCGAACGTACTTGACACGGTAGCGGCCCCAGTGGGTTGCTGCGTTCCCCTTCTATATTTCCACGGCAACCTTGGAAACTCTTAGAATCCCAAGTACCTAGAGAAATGCCAAAACGATGCTTCACCGTAGAATAACAAATTCTTGACAAGCAGACGTCGTCAAGCACTCAAAGGCAGTCAATCAAACTGGCCGTGATTCTGCACTTCCCATAACCAAGATAACTATCCCATCCTCAAGGATATAAACCATTTCTTTTTCTGTGATCCTTCGGCTCTTCCCCCCACGATCAAGGATGTCCTAGTCATGCTCAAGGCCAGAACTGAACCTGTATACGATATAATTGAATATGTACATATGCAGTAATTTGAATAACATTCACACAAGAGGGCATACTATACGCTCTTCATAGTTGCTAATGGACTAGATACATGTAGTCAAATCCCTGTATTACCATGCAATCAGCCACTGGCTAGTAAGGATAGGGAGCGCCACAGTGAGTTTTGATAGGCCGAGATCTTGCGTTTCTATATCATTGGGTTTCCCAATTGGAAATCAGATCCGTGGTGCCACTAGGTAGGTATCGTGATAGCGTGGGTCATTTATGGATAATGGGTCAGCGAGAACGCCATCCGGCGGCGCTGCGCCGGCTTCGTGACCCGGAGGCCGTGGGGTAGAGATGGAGTGAATCTCGCCACCTCATGCAAGCAGCCCGAACCGGAGTCGTAGGACTAAAAAGCAAAATATGTACCTGGTAAGGCAGGCCAATGACATAAATCATTTAGGTTAGTACGTCGTCATTGAAGATAAGATAAGTCAGAAACTGCCCAGTTCTTTCATTGACGTTTGGAATTCGTCCTCGAGCTTAGAAACGTACTTAAAATCTGTCCTGAGTGTTGCTGTTATCAATATTCTATACATCAGCATATAATTCAATCTCATCAAGAAGGTCGTCTTCACGTAGCTATATGCTTATCAGTGTTTGTAGATTGATGAATTGGCAGGACACCCGTGACATGACGATCTCAGCTGTCATATGACATTATGTAATCATTGATTAGGTCATCTCAGAAGAGCCCCTGATTAGCTAAGCTGAGCGTGCGTAGGTCTATTTAGCTCCCTAATCATAAATCATATCCGGAACTTACCAACTATGTAGCATAATCCCCAAAGTTCATCTTGATTAAAGATATCATATTAAATAGCTATGAAATAATATGTGGAGTGGAAACAAGAAGTTTCCCACGACGTACAGGCGAGGGAGGGTAGGTGACATTCTATTTATTATTGGATATATTCAATTCTTTTTGCTTGGACTCGTTACCAATGTTCTTGGCTGGTTGAGAACGACGAGGAGTTCTCAGACAATCTGGAACTGACAAGTGGGCAAGGATTTGATTATTTCCGTAATATCTTCCGGCTTCTTATTAAGGGCCGCACGAGCAACAATACGATGCTTCTGCATATTATCAGAGCCCCCATACTGTGCTTCTACTTTCCTTAGAATGAAATAAACAGGTGAACCAATTACCCAAAAGAGAAAAGAGGTTTGTCCAGGACATAGTTTTAGGCTTCATATTTGCAGTTTCTCCGATGCGGTCCATGTAGTTTGTTGGGACTGGCAAACGAAGTACCGACTGCCGTGCACGATAAACACCGAGCACGAAGTTGACTAGGTCCAGAAATGGTTCATCATCTTCCACGCTCGGGATCTCACCAATGGCGTAGATTGGGTCTAGACGGTACCCTGTCAGAAGGGCCTCGGAATTAGTGCCCCATGTGATAATAATACTGTGATACACTGTACGCATATATGTAGGTAGTAATAAAGTGCGTACAGTGTATTACAGTATTATTATCACATGGGGCACTAATTCCGAGGCCCTTCTGCCTGTACAGAATAATGTCGTTGGGGTGGCGTAGAACATGGGCTCATTCGTATTTTCGTTAATATGGATTTTTCGGGCTTGACCTTGAGTGAGAAATCTATCCAGCGTCACCACATGAGCCGTCTCCTCCGTAGAGTTGCTTCCAAGAAAATTAACATTAAAATACCTAGGTAAGATCAAGGACCCAGGAAGGACCAGTAGGTTTTATCTTCTCGTGGAACTGAGATTCAAAGAGAAAGCGAAACGATCTCATCAGCACAAAACCTAGGCTGCCGTTATAGGACCGAGCGGTTGCACGCTTGAATACATTACTGCATTCTTCATTGTAATCCACATACATGAGTTGGCCAATGCATCCGAGGAGGAGAGATTCTATAGCGAAGATCTTGTCCTTTGGGTAAGTGGCTTTGTAGTTATCCGTGAAATACAGCACAGCTGTGAATGTTTTAAGTAGGGGGCCACGTTCGTTCTGTTCTAAGCCGCGGCGTAACCTAATTAGCAATGTACTTGAGTTAAAAGGCCCATCTAGGAACCTCCCATCGTGTATATGACATCTCGTATCTTTTTGCTCATGTATTTAAACGTTAGTTGGGACATACCGTAAACATTTAAGCATTAAAATTGGTTTGAATGCGTGATAACATGTTAAAAGAAATTTAGGATAAGTCGAAACACCTTCTTATAGGCCACCCCTTCGTGGGCCACCCTTTTCCCATATAAAACGGTTTAATTCCGATGTTTATAATTAATTAAATAAAATACTTATAAATATATAATTAACGGTTTATGGGTTTATAATATTTAAATATTAAAAATTTTAAAGCGGTTTAATTTTTAAAATTTTTTTCGTTTTATAAATTTAAATAATTATAAAAATAAAATTCGTTAATATTTTTTTATATAAAATATATACGAAATTATTAAAGCTTATAACTTTATAAAAATAATGAATAATATTTTATTTTTAAATGTTTTAAATATAATAAAATTTAAATTTTATATATATATTATAAAATTTTAATAATTAAATTTATTAAATTTATTATAATTAAAAAACGGGATTTTTATTTTTTAAAAAATATAAAAAAAATATAAAAATTAAAAAAATCTTTATATTTTAAATTATAAAAATAAAATAAAATATTTTTTTAAAATATTTTATTATTATTATATAAATAATTTTTTATAATATTTAAAATATTTAAAATTAAATTTATATATTAAAAATCCGAAATATTATAAGTTTTAATAATTTTTTATATATTTTATATATATATTTATTAAAATAAAAAAAACTTTTTATTTAAATAAATTAAAAAAATTTAAAAATTATAAAATTAAATTAACGTATATAATATAATTATAAAAATATAAAACTTTTATCCGTATATTTTTATTTATTTTATTTAATTAATTATAATAATTAAATTTTAATGGTTTTATATAAAAAAAAAATAGCTTATAAAAAAATAATTTATAAAAAAATGTTTCGATTTATTTACCACGTTTTAATAAATTTTATTATTTTATATATTAATTTAAAAAGTTTATTTTTTTAAAATAATTTTATTATTTTAAAAATACTTGTGCATTTTAATAATAAAAAGAATTAAAAGGGATAAAAATGTTATATTTCTTAGAAAACTTTAAAGCTTGAATCTTAGTGTGGAGATTTTAAATACTAGTACAGTGCTAGTAGCACCTTCCTGCCATGTACACTCCATGGCTTAGATTTGAGCGTGTGGTCTTTGATTACCTAGCTGGAAGTCTTATCGATAAGCCACTACCGCCAGAAACCGTTATACATCCTATCCCACATGCTTGCACTCAAATAACTTTTCTTCAACATACCTACTCTACAATATTATCATTACCCTCACTCGACAGCCCTCAATTGAGCGATCCTCACAGTACTAGGTTCAAGTGGTTGCACCATTTGCTTCGCAAGGTATACTGACCTGAATTTGATAGGTTGATGTTGCTGTAACGGCCGAGGGTCAGGTGACACCCCGGAGAGTACAAGCTACTTGCAGCCCAGCTATTCTAAGCTATATAGCTCAACCAAAATATGTCCAAACATGGTGCAACCGGGTTCATTCAATTCATTATCTCTTATTTCAATAGGATGCAAGAATATAGCTTTCTCAGCTCACTTTTGACGAAGTTATTGCAGTGCAAAGTCAAAACCTGTATGAATCTGGGGGTGCTCACAGGCGGTACTTTGATCTGTACTGATTTTGTATGGCAGATGAAGTAGCCGCGCTAGTCTCGGTAGCTTATCGATAAAGTTTCAACCAATCAAAAGATGCGCGCCCGGACTTGAGTCACACTATTGAAATGCAATACTATTAAAATGCAATACTATTGAAATGCAATACTATTGAAATGCAATATTATTGAAATGCAATACTATTGAAATGCAATACTATTGAAATAGTTGGAAATTTCTTAATCTATACTAGTAATATTAATATTATTTCGCACATGGCCCATTTAATTTGACATTATTCTAACCTTGTTTAGTAGTTATGCATTTATGTCGTACCCGACACAAATACAATAAGAATAGTAGCGTACCTAATATAGGTTAACCTGTCGTCCACTAGTAATTTTAACCCGAATCAATGCTTACGTAGCCCCTCCGAGAATTAACTCCATCGTCCTCGACTTCACTAAATAAGAAAGTATAAGGAGATACGAGACTGTTGCCAGCACGATGACAGTAATCCGGACCGAGATAATGCTGATAACATTGCATATTACAACTGGAAGCATCAGGAGAAGGGTAGTTAGGACGACCAATAAAGCCTTTGCGGTGCGTCGGATCAGAAGGCCTGTATAAATGTATACATTCGGATCACTAGAGAGATCGTGAAATCGGTTCTGTACTCGTCAGCCGAACGCGTACGGAGGTATCAGGGCTGCGAAAGCCTTCTTACTCTTCGGAAACAATGTAAATATCGAACGAGTTTATCTTCCACCCACGTCTCGAATTGTCTAGCCACACTGTCCAACACAGGGACTAGACAGACTAGTTCATTTGGGTAAGAGAGGTATGCTGTCTCGTCCTTGGATAAGCAACCGGTCGCGTCCACCCAGTTTTGTAGGCTCTCTATATCTCTTCGTTCGGTCAATTGTAGGTTCAGTATCCGGTTGGTGTGCTCGATTAGTTGATCTAACAGCAATTAATAGCCGCGCGCGAGTCGTTTGAGATTCTTACCATAGTCGATTAGGGCTGCTTCAATTTCGGACAGGGTAGATAACCGGTCAGCATTTCTATCGCATCGACTCACTCCAAGAAAAAGAGGCGAGGTTTCCTGTTGATCGATCTGTTCTAACTGTTGTTCGAGGCGGGACAATCTATCCTGCTTTAGCAGGAGGAGTCGAGCTCGCAGTTTGTCGAAGCGACGAAATATGAACCAGGAGGGATAGGATGAGAGGAGTGCGGTGTATCGAGGATACCCGGGCCTGTACTCTTCGACTAATAAGTTACAGTTAGTGATTTTGGTAGGGCTTTCGATCGAGAGTGCGTACTTTTTACCATTTCCGAATCTTCATTGATTGTAGACTTAAAACCTGGTTGTAGAAAATATCTTACGTATTGCTTTTTTTTTTTTTTTTCATCTTGTACCTAGGTAGGTACTTATCATGTGGCGCGAGGGGTTTTTATCCCATAATAGCGTAGTAATCATATATATTGGGGTGAGTGGCCACATACCTACTCCTAGCAAGTAATACGTATGTCATCTTCACATACCTCCTACATACGAACATTCGTCTTCAAACAGCGTCAATCTTCCAGCATCCATATTAACTATGGCTCACGACGGGTGCGCAGTCCCAGCATATCTTAGATTATTTAAGACTAATGCATAAGCTAGGCATAAAAATGATAATTTTATCGTCTCTAATGACGAGGACCGACCTTACATTGCACATTCAGAGGTCCGTAGTTCTAACCAAACTGTTGCTTGGTCCTGACCAAGCTTTCACTTAGAGTTCAGCTTTTCGTGTCGGACAAAAGGTGCATATACTAGGCTCTGACGGATCCCTTGAAGGCCCGTACATTGTTTCGTTGGTAAAATCTTCAGAGAAGAAATGTCAGCTTTCGCTCGAGAATGGTCAGGTTATCAAGAACGGAGAAGAGATAGAGATGGCGAAGCTCGATGCTGCATGAAGAAATATGGGGCATTTGATCCGATACTTCTCAAAATCTCCTTCCACGTCAGCAGCAGAGGCCGTATGAGGATTTTTGATTTATAAATTCGCCTCACAATTTAGACACCTTTGAGACAGTTGAGTAATTTATTTGTTGCCTCGTTTTCGTTGCATGTTACATCTTTCTGCCTAACGTGGTGCATGTGTGCCTTCCCAAAGTACCTGAGGCCTGATCAAAGTGGCCTTCGGCATTTGCGTTTCTTAACATGCTTCGGGTTCTCAACAAGTCGGCCTGGCATGATATGATCTGGCTTAGCATGATCCATTTAATTGGCCACACACTTTCAATTGGTGTCCAGTAAGACTCTGGGGCCCGTAAACTTACTTTTCAGCAGCCGACTGGTTGTCGCTTATTTATTTATTATTTTTTTTTCCCCATGTAACTTTGGAATAATGTGCCTATCTTGTAGAGGTGGCAATAAAATAGGTGAGTGGATGCAGAAAAAGAAGAAGCAATCGCTAAAAAGCACAACTTCAGCCTAAGTCAACCAAGGTTAGTTGAATACTGTTATTCATTTAACTTGACTTGATGGAGCTACTCGCTCTGTACCTCCCACTCTCATGGAAACGTTCTCTTCTATCATGGGTGATCAACCTATTTCCAATAGAAGGTATTTTGCCATCTTAATCGGGATCGATGCTTACCCGCGCAGACCTTTGAGGAGCTGCGTACAGGATGTCCACACGATTAAGGAATGTTTCGAGAGAGAAATGAGTTCTGTGCATATCCAACTTCTCACAGCAAGCGAGAGCTACAACTTAGGGATGACTATGCCACTTCCAAGCCCTTCTCTCTGGCCAACGCTCACTAATGTGATTTCGGCTCTTGAAAGTGCCACGTCCAAAGCGAACTGTGGAGACTTTATCTATATCCACTATTCTGGTCATGGAACTAGACTGGAACCAATTTTTGACTTCTCGAACTCTTCGACCGGAGATTTAGCGTTAGTTCTCCTCAAAAAGGATGGCAGTGCAGAGGAATTCTTGAAGGGCCCACGGCTAGCTGGGCTTCTAAAAGCCATGGTAGACAAGCAGTTGGTCGTCACCCTCGTCCTAGACTGCTGCTTTTCTGCAAGCGTCTATCGCAATACTGACCACAATATTCGATATCTCCCGTTAGACCTAATGGTAGCTTCGACGTACCCAGAAGATGCAGATGGCAGCCTCACTAGCGGGGCTACTTGTTCTTTGTACCGCGATGCATCTATGCGAGACAACTGGCTCCTAGATCCGGACCGGTATGCTATACTTACCGCATGCGGACCACATGAAAACGCCCAGGGGGGCCATGATGGGGAATATAAGAAGGGAGAGGACACCGTATGGCATGGTGCCTTATCTTACTTCCTATCCAAAGCCTTGGCCGACTATGGATTCGGGAGGAGACACGTGGATATCCACCGTCATCTGTGTGCTAAATTCAGGGAATTCGACAAGGCACAACATCCTGTCCTGTTTGGAAATGGGGATCAGGGGTTCTTCGGTCCGGTCGACCAGGACTGTAGTGTGAGGTCGATCTGCGTAGTCAAGCGTGATGGAAAATCCCAGCTACTGGCAGGCCAGGCACATGGCATCCGCGATGGCGACCAATTCTTTTTGTCGCCTCAGGGCTTGAGAACTTGTCATGGCGCTGAAGGAGATTGCGTTGCGAATGTCTCCTGCGCTGGGCCTTTGACGTCCGAGTTGGAATTGAATATTCCACAAGGTCTTCAAACGGGATGGATGGCAAAACAACTCACCTGTTCATATCTCACAAGTTTTCCGATTCAATTGGCATCAAATCTTCCACAATATGATCAACTGCTGGCGCAGCTTAACCGACGGTCGCTTGGTGCTTCTGTCGATACTGATAAAGCCCCGGTGTTTCGGATTGTGTTAAGCGATAATGACGAATATGAAATCCTGAATGAGTCTGGTCAAAAAATCATAAACATACCAACTATGCCACGAAATCAAACAAACATCAATCACCTCTACGAAACCTTAGAACACTTGGCTCGGTTTAGGATGGCTAAGGAGTTGACTAACCTGTCGCCTACATGTTCTTTCCGAGAGTCGTTCGACCTTCGAATGATTATGGATGGGAGAGACTTCAGTTCAGGAGAATGTATAGAGGTTCAGCATAACGATATTGTGGAAATATCTATGCAGAACAAAGGAGATACAAACCTCTATGCTCACGTGTATGACTTAGGTCCCTGTTGGCAGGTCAGATGTATCCTGAAAAGCACTTATCAAACCGTTCTTCCATGGAAAGATTGGTGGAACAAGTCGCAATCGAATACTCTCCGCCTAAAGATCAAGATGACGATTCCGCTTATTATGGACAACTCGTGTGAGGATGTCATCAAAATCTTTATCACGTCCCAACCGACATCGTTTGACCTGCTAGAGCTGCCTAAGCTTGATGAACTGGCAAAAAGGAATAACGGAGATATGATCTCGCATCGCCCCTGCAATGTATTGGAAGACTGGACAGCATTTGATTTTCCTATCCGCATATCACGATAAACTTGAACGCATTAATCAAATCTAACTGCTCGTACCTACCTAGGTACTAGAGGTAAAGTGGCTACGCCTTTACTCGCACTTGGCTTTATGAGAGATGGAGTGTACTTGCTAGGAAGGTGCAAGTCACACTGTAGGGGTATATTAGGTCACCACTCTTAGATTGAGCTTCAAGCTATTTTTCAGCAATACAACATTATTACCCCCCTAATATTGATCTATGAGCTAGCTAGTCTTTTGGTTAAATCCTAATCCATAACTACCTAGGTACCTAGGTTCAAAAGGATTTCCTTCACATACAGGAGGATATAGTAGGAGGAAAGGGGAATACCATATTAGGTAGGTAGCTATGATTTACCATCAATTCCTTTTTTTTTTTTTTAATGCTGAATAAGTTTAAGATACGGGATGAGGTCCTCTCAAGTAAACATCAGTAATATTCTACCAATAACATTGATATAAAAAAATAAAAACCAGGGAAACTTGTTTCTCCTTTTATGAAAAACTCTAGTCATCCCTGGTTCTAATCAGTGTGGAGCCGATGCTAGCTATCTCTAAACACCAAAGTGAATGTAGGGAACCCAGTAGAAGCTTTTCGGCACTCTTGCTTTGGCCTCCAAATCTACTAAAATACCATCCCTCCCTTTCTCCACGCTCTCGACATCATTATCCCGTAGTCGTTTGATGGCGCGATGAATCCCTCGATAGACTGCGGTATCCGTGATGCCTTCGTGGAGTGTCTCGTATAAAACCCTGGCCACATCAACACAATGACTGTCTGATACTTCCCAAAGTGTGCCTACGACATGTCGGAAACCTGCTAGTTGGAGGGCGCCGACGAGATGAATGGCTTCGTCAGCGAGATTCTCCGCCTTGTTGGATCCAGTCGAACATGCTGACAAATATCCCAGAAATGGCAGGTTTCCTTGAAGCTTGTGGTCACGTAGATCCCCCACAGTAAGCGGGTCAGTTTCCCAATCGTCAAGGAGCAAACAACTCTGTGAGGGCTCTACCGGATTCAGTCTCCCATGACCTGCAAAGTGAAATACCTTACAACCCCTCAAAGACTCCATGATATTGCGCTTATACCGCGCCGGCGTAACTGGCACTAACTGTAGTGATGAACAAATGCTTTTTAACATGTCTATTTCTTCTTTGGCATACTGAAGATCTCTATTCCCATTTATCCCTGGTGTTATGTTCATGGCAACCAAAAGAGCCTGGTTGAACGGGGACTGGGAGGGATTATCAGAATGGTGCCGGCGTCCGTGTACTAGTGCCTTGATAGACGAGGCATACGAAGACATGACTCTATCAAGGACAGTATCAGTAGACCCTTGCGAATGAAGGCCCGCCGCATGAAGTGGTAGCTGGCTTAGAAGCCCGGTGGGAACCCACCACACGTGAGGACAATTATCAATTGACGTCTGAAATCCTAGTGCGTCTAGGCACGGTCGACAGATGGCCTCCCAGAGCCATTCGAGAATTGATGTCATGTCTGCTGATCGTAGGTCTCGAACTTGTTTCCGAACGTCTTCTAATGTCAGATCAGGTAGTTTTATCACCCGAATCCGATAATGCTCAATGAGGAATGCGTCGCACCGATAAGAGCTTATATTGACAACGATGATCGGGTCTGGGTCTGCCGCAGCCATCAACTCATCTCTAGTGGGTGGGAGAAGAAAGTTGTGGAACCCGGGCTTAGTACGAATAATCGGTAGGAGCTCGCTAAATCCTTGGTCGGCTTCACGCCGTCGTTTTGCTTGTGATTCCCAATCACCAACCATGTCGCCGCTATGACTGGGGAATCTCCGTACGTCTGCTGGAAGATCCAGCTCGTCCCGAAGCGACACGAATTTCTCTGCCAAGTCAGGGTATTTCTGCCTGAGATCTGAAACGTCTACGCGCATATCCATCAGCAAACCGGCGATAATACCACGGCCGAGCTCGAGGAACCTCAACGCATCATATGCTTCTTCTTCTTTGATCCTTCCTTCCGCTGCGTTTAGACACGCGGCCGCTGAATCAGAAGCTAAGCTCGAGAATTCTGCGAGCATATGCTGCTTGTCGGTATGCTTTAATGATCGTGGGCTGACAGTGGGGAGAAGAATCACTGCTTCCCTTAGTAACTGGCTTAGTGCTTTCCAATTTGATTGCGAAGAAAGAATACGAGCTGCTCCCTTAGCCATTTTAATGCGATCAGAGGGTGAAGCAGTATGGCAATTCCAGCCGTCATTGAAAGAGGAGAGCGCACGGTTGAGGTCGTCTATCGAATCCGTCTTCTCAAATCGCGACAACAAAGACTTTGCAAAACTACCCATACATAAGATTCGGCTAGGGTGGTCTTGGGATATTCCATTTACTACCCCATCTAGGAAAGAAATGGCGCGATTCAGATCGTTCATTTGAGCCGTGTGATAAAATCGCGTGATCAAACAATTCGAAAGATTATTCAAATATGTGATTCGGTCAGGGTGGTCTTGAGATACAGCATTTACTGCGGTATTCATGATATCGATGGCGCGATTTGACTCACTTATAGACGAGGTTTTTCTAGATCGTATGCTCAGCCAGCTTCCAAGGTTACTTAACCACTGAACTCGATCAGGATCGTCTCGGGGTGTGCCATTTACCGCCATATCAACTGCTTCGACAGCGCGGTTCAAATCATCCATTAAACCCGTTCGTTCAAATCGTTTACCGAGCAAATTCCCAAGGTTATTTAACCTAACAGCTCGATGAGAGTGGACTTGGGGTAAAATGTCCACTGCCCTTTGCGACGCTTCAATAGCACGATTCAAATCATCCAAAGACCCCGTTCGTTCAGATCGTCTACCAAGAATATGCGCAAAGCTACTTGACATCCAAGATAGACCGCGGTCGTCCGGGCTTGCGATTTTTATTGAAAAGTCCGCAACTTCAACGGCATGATTTATATCGTCCATTGAGCCAGTCCGCTCAAATCGCATGTCGAGAGTGATTCCAAGGTTAAGTAAGAAAGCAGCTCGACGAGGATTGCTTTGAGGGGTGGCATTTACCGCCATTTTCGCCAGTTCAACAGCTCGATTCAGGTTATCAATCGAATGTGTCCACTTAAACCGCGAACGAAATATATTTCCAAGCAGATTCAAGTAGCTGGGTAGATCGGGATCGTCATGAGGTGTACCATTTACTACCCCGTCAGCCAAGTCGATAGCACGATTCAAGTCGCTTATTGAGCCCGTCCACGTTGATCGTTCCTCGAGAAAAGTAGCTAAAGCTATATGAACTCTAGGAAGTGCCGCTCCAGCATCTATTGCTAATTCTGCCACACGAATTAATTTTTCTCTGTCATGGAAGGAACTGTTTTGTTTGTATGCTTCAAAGAGTTTGGCTGTTTGATTATCCTCGCTATTCATTTTGTCACGAATAGACGCTGAGCTATTTATTTACCAATCATGTTAGTGATTGACTCCTTTTAATTTCTTATGGAAATATATTCTCTTTAAATCCAAGCATCCACTTAAGCCCCTATTGAGATTTTGTAACAAATGTGTATTGGTAGGTAGTTTCTCAAAAGGGGGCTAATATGAAATTGCAGCTTACCCATTTCTTGAAACCAGAACCGAAACAAACTGGTTTTTCCAGGCTAACAGCATATCACCGATTTGACGCCGTCGAAGGCGATCGGGATGATCCATAGCTAGTGTTGCATTCCAAGCATCCGTTCGCTGGATAGCTTGCTGAAGTTTTTCCGGCGATTGTGTTTTTCGGAAGATAGTGAAACAAATATAGATATTTAACTCAATGTCTCCGTCCATCGTAGATTCATCGAGTGTCGTTGAGAGAGAAGAGAGATCTTTGTCGTCCATTTTGGCAAGTACGGACACTGTTTCCGAATCGATATTAAATAAGTCCATTTCAGCATTCTCGAAGATTTGATTAGTTGCACGTGAAAGTGCCTGATTAGATCTAAGACTTGTCAGAAGAGCCAGTTCACCAGCATTGGTTGAATAATGGAGGCACAACCTTTTAAATTCGATTGAAATTCCAGCGTCTCGTGCCCAAGTTGCCATCTCGTCAAGATCATCCAATGATTTGGTATGTCTAAACTTGATGAATATCAAGTTCACCCAATCGATTTGGCGAGCTACAATGTCAGGGTGGTTGGGTGGTGTATTTGCCATTAACTCGTAGGCCCAAAAAATTATTTCCTGAAGGTCGTCTGATAACCTTGTATGCTGACACTTTTTAAGCAGCATCACAATCAAGTCCTTCAGCCGAGGTGCATAATGAGGGTCTTCGATCTGTGTAGGGATGTGACCCCTGACTTGGTCAATAGCACGCTGAAGATCCTCAATAGCGCCGGTCCTCAAGAATATATAGTATTGGGTATGACCAATTGGTGCTGTATCTTTCCCATTACTCGCAAGACGGCGCAGTTCGTCTAGATCCATGTTGAATGAACGAGACATTGGTGTGCCTGTAGTTCCATCCAAACCCGTGTAGTATCTTAACATTTGGAGTCTCCTGATACAATCGGAGTCCAATAATCTCCCTAAGAGATTCAATTCGCTAGAAGCAGGCATCCAATAGAATGAGTTGGCTGAATCACTGGGCGAAATGCGCCCATGACGAGAGTAGTAGGGAATCAGGGTCTGGGATGCTGTTGGTACCATATCATGAACCCCAATTCCGGAACCAGTGTTTATTACGGACGTATCTGCGATCGGGGACAGCTCCGGCTGCTCCTCTTGGCATTTCAACCTCGCTTGTTGTTTTCGGTCCCTCAATCCCTCTTCTCTTTCCAGTTGTTTAAGTTCTTCCCATACTTTCATCTCGTTGCGCCGCAACTTCTCTAATTCTTGTAGGAGTCGGGCCTTCTTAGCGCATATTTCTTCATCCTAGATCAAAGTGTTACCGATATTAGATTATAGTATTTACCTATCTATCTAGGTCTGTTATAGATTATTTACCTTATCATTGCCACCAACGCCTCGAGCTTGGTGTTCTTCATAAGCCATCAAAATTAAGTAGTAGCTATTAGAATTCTCGCCACAAAGTCGCTCTTTAGTCTTATCAAGAAGGCCCTGAGATGATGAGTTCGGACCCCTATCTCTTTTCTCTGCTATGGGGCTGACGGGTGGGTTACGTAGGTAGCTAAGATATTGCTTTCTTCCAACTAATATGATTACCCTGATGGTTATGGGCAGTACTTATAACTAACGGTTTCGGTGCAATAGCGTGTTAAGAGGGTTTAAAATATGTCTGCTTCCTAAGGTGCCTCAAGTTGAAAATAATAGTAATAACGATAATCAGCGCGTGATGACGCCGGACTTCGTCACTAGAAGTTTTCTGTTCCGTGCCTACTGGAGGTGGCTTGAAGTCCAATGCCTAAACCCCCAAGGCTCATTGGTGGAAATGAACTAATGGCTTGTATGGGATAGCTAAAACCAATTATATGTTAGTGAAATGAGAGTGTGGGATGTGTGGGGGGGATTTGATCGGCCATGAATGCCACAATTTTTGTAAGGGGTTTAGCCTTCAATACAACCTTGAAGGTAACAGCACCGCATGAACATTAATGAACACTTGCTACAACGCTCCTTAGCCGCTGATGTAAGTAATGTGGTTTCATTCCTTTATTACTTAACAATATAGTTTACCGAAGAGGTCATTAGGCAAAACTTAGCAGGGTTGATTGGATACCTACCTGGTGAATACTGATATCGGCATGGACCTGCCATGTTGAGACATTTCAGCCTTTGGAGTACCTAACCATCTGTCAGATGATATAGTAAAGGTAGCTAATAGCTGAAGAAATGAAAGTAGGCTGTAGGCAGTATTCAGTAAGTGGCATTTATGCAGATAAGAAATCGGCAAATAATTACGTATCTATACAGCCTTTGACATCAGACAAGGGAATAGAAGTAGGCTGTGAACAGTGTTCGGCAAATCATAACATATCTATACAGCCTTTGACATCAGTTAAGAGAATAATAGTCGGAAATGGACACTGTTCGGTGAATGATAGCTATATGCACATAAGAAATTAGCAGACCATGACGTGTCTATACACCCTTTGACATCAGTTAGGAGAATCGAAGTAGGCTAGAGGCAATGTTCGGTGAATGATAGCTATATGCATATAAGAAATTGGCAGACCATGACGTATTTATACAGCCTCAGTTAGGAGAATAGAAGTAGGCTATAGCCAATGTTCGATGAACGATAGCTATATGCATGTAAGAAGTGGCGGACCATGATGTGTCTATACACCCTTTGGCATCAGTTGAGGGTTGGCTATAGGCTGAATTTGGAGTTGATCCTCGTTCTACGATGTATTTCGTAAGGTTTTCTAGGTAATAGACACATTCCCTCTCAGCATTCAGCCACCTTGGTAAGCTAGACTAAGTAGTACAAGGACCAACCTCGGGCTTTAATATTGAGATCGGAATTAGACCTGGTGTCTCCAGGTCAAAGTATATAAGATTATATAAAGTCTCGCTCTATGGTGAATGATCAAACCAGATGAAAATTTTGACAACACAAAAAAGCCTGTACTGTTTATCATGAAAACCCAACCCGAACAGAAAAGATTTGCCCTCCTCGTCGGGGTGGATCTGTATCTTGACGGGTCCAGAAAGGTCAATATACCTAGCTTGCGTGGATGCGTCAACGATACTCAGATAATCAAGAAATTACTTGGAAATGAGTTTTCAGAGGGCGTAATACGAATCCTTACTTCTTCTCTGTCTCCGGATTCCGCGGCCTCACGTGAACCACCACAGTCCTTGCCCACATACGAAAATATCAAGAGGGAATTCGATGGAATAACCAAAGAAGCCAAGGCTGGTGACCTCTTCTTTTTCCATTTCTCTGGCCATGGTGCACGACTAGAAACGGTACTTCCGGGGCGCGACCGTCGTGCGGACGACCCGTCTCTGCTGACAATGGACTTCGGCTGCGGTAAACCAGCAATACGTGGGTGGCAACTGAACAATTGGCTCAAGATACTGAACGAAAAGGGAGTTCAGATTGTTGTTAGTTTGGACAGCTGCTATTCGGCCGACAATTGGCGAAATGAAGGTTCTCTTCGAAGCCCGAAACAATGGAAACGTCCACCTAACCTCCCTGTCGACGAGGAAGGAGTCGAAGCGACGTCTATTGAGCCGAATGACCGTCACGGTGAGCTCAGTGTACTCTGGGACATCAATCCAGAGGGCTTCGTGCTGATGGCAGCATGCGAAGGCCAAAGTGTAGCGATGGAGAAGATGTTTGGGAATAGCGTATATGGCACTTTTACCTACGAGTTGTGCGCATACGTCAGGGAAGCACCAAAGGCGGCATATCGCACTATCCGCGACTACATAGCAGCGAGAATTCAGCCACAAGTTCCATGCTTTTATGGCCAAGACAGGTTCGCGTTCCTTGAGAATGAAGAACTGTTTTCGGCCACACATGTTTGGGCCAGGGTTAGTAAAGGCGTCGTTTCTCTTCCAATCGGAAAGTTTCATGGTGTTGAGATAGGAGCAGAATTTGTGACTCTCCCACCTACACCTCCGGTCACCCTCTCAATAAAAAAGGTCCAAGACTCCGAAAGTGAAGCGACGGTACCATCAGGATTCTTGCCCGAAGCTATTGAGCTCGTTCCTTGCCGATGGAGTTTGAGGAAGGCCCCGAAAATCTCTGTCAAGGAGATTACATGCGAATTCCGGAAGGCACTGCATGACGGCTTGAAGAAAAGGATTGTAAATGAAGTCGAATTCAGTCAAACCCAAAACCTTGAATCAGTCAGTCTTAGGTTGACCAAAGCAGCGAATGGTAAAATCGGCATCTCTGGACCCCAATCACTGATAGGGTATGAAGGACATGTCCGTGGCTTGGAGACCAAAGGCGAAAACGACAAAGAACAAGCGACAGAACTAGCAGTTGCACTATCACATCTCATGCGTTTTGAACAGATTCTTGAACTTCGGAATGATGCAACACGGGATGACAACCCGCCTTTTAAAGCCACCTTGAATGATCTTGAGCAGGTTGATGGCGCGCCGAGATTTGAATACAGATTTCAGAACTGTGACGAAGTGCCGCTTCACTTCACGGTTATGGTCTTGGGTCCCGGATTTCACATCAAGCAGCTTTACCCTGAAAATGACGGCTCATACACTGTAGCTCAAGACAGAACTTCGAGTTTCACATTTAAGCTTGTTCTGCCGACCGAGCTTAAGCAGGTTGGGAAGAGCCACCGCGACATTTTCCGCACGATTGTCACTAGGAAGAAAAAGCTTTCGTTTAAAAGCTGGGAGCTACCTGACATTTGGAACGCCAACCAGACGCTTTACAAGCGACGTGAAGATTTAGCAAGGGACGCAGAGCTGATAACTGACGATGGCAATGGCTTGTGGATGCAGGATATCACAAAGTCGTCAACTCTGAACTAAGCATAGAGTATCCTGAGACTTTACGGGAATGGGACAGCACGAGAACATATATGAATGGACAGGATACAAGAACAAAATGTTTCTTATGTGATTGTTTACAATCGATCATTTATCGTATTTCTTTACCCTGAGTTTACGAAGGGATATTGTGGATCTAAACTTCTAGGCTCCCAGCAAAATTCCTTATCAAAAATTTCCTATCGCGGTAATCCCTTAAAGTCCGGCCCTAAAGTTGTGTGACACCGATAGCTCCAGGACAGCGTGGCCGTTGATTGGGTGCAGGGTCAGGAAAAGTGGTCCAAGAACTTGATTATTAATTGACCAAAACTGATTATTAAGGCCCTATAGCCAATCAGGTGCAGTGCAAGCAGTTCTCAAGGTGGTCCGTTCGCGAGCAGTGGGTTTTGGACAAGATTCGAATTTTCAGAACGACGGTAGAAAACAGGTCTCGCGCACGGGCCATATTTGACGGGATTACCTAAGGTGCTGACTTAATCAATCCCCGGACCAGTTCTTCAATACAGGTCAGGTTCAATACAGGTCAGGTTTAATACAGGTCAGGTTCCAGGGACCTATTCTTTAATATAGGTCAGGGACCTGACCTGACCTAGGGCAGGAACGGTTGCTACTTTATATAATCAGTCAACCCTTAAATCAAGGTGACTGAGCCAGGTGTAAGAGATGGAGGGACTGGAGGGGTGGTCCCACTTATTGATTGGGTGCAGCCAATTAGCTTTAAGAACTTAGCTTTGCAGTAGTCAAAGCTGCAAGGGTGTTGATTCAATTGACAACTTATTTGAAGCTATTTTGGCAGTTGACTTAGTCCAGGGATAATTAGGTAATAGACTGGTTAAAGGGAAACGCTATACGCTTACCGACGATGCGAACTGCGAGGCGCGCGCGAAGCGCGCGGCTTGCAGTTTGCGTTCTATGGTTGACAGCTCAATTGAACGTTGCAAAGGTTTAAAAGTTGTAAAAGTGCGAGATCGAGGAATCGAACCTCGGCTCGGCTCAATTAAACTCAGGGTTATTGTGCCACCAAAGGTAGCTTCCAATAATTATTATTTAAAAGTTATTAGTTTTTTTTTTATATTTTTTTAAATATTACGTTTTAATTATTAAAATTATAAATAATTAATAAAATATTTAAATATTTTTAAATAAAAAATATTATTATAAAAAATATTATTTTAATTAATTTAAATTAAATTTTAAAAAAATAATTATATTTAATTATATTACGTGTAATTTATTTAATTTATATTTATAATAATTTAATTAATTATTAAATTATTTAAATTAAAAAAAATTATAAAAAAATATATAATATTATAAAAATTAAAATAATTTTAAATAAAATATATAAATTATTTTTATTAATTATTAAAAATATAATTTTATAAAAATTAAATTATATTAAAAAAATATAAATCGTTATAATTTTACGTATAAAAAATTTATTTTTAAAAATATTTTATTAATTATTTATTAAAATATAAAACGAATTTTAATATAATTATTTATTTATTAAAATTAATAATAATAAAAAATTAAAAATATTATTAATATTAATTATTATATTTTAATTAAAAAAATAAATAATAATTAAATAATATTTTTTATATTATTATATATTTTTTTAATAAATTTATTAAAAATTAATATATTAATTAATTTTTAATAATAAACGTTTTAATTATAATTTATTTTTTTAATTAAAACGTAATATTAAAAATATAAAAAAACGTTATAAATTATTTAATATTAATAATTTTTAATTTATTAATATATTAAAAATAATTAATTTACCGTATAAAATTTACGTAAATTATATTAATTAAAAAAATAATTATTTTTTATATTTTTAAAACGTAATAATTTGTTTTTTACGTAATATAATTTTAATAATTAAATTTAATATTATTAATTTTTTAATTATTAATAAAAAAAATATTTTTTTAAAAATATATAATAATTTTAAATTTACTTAATTTTTTTATTATTTAATATAAATTAATTAATTAAATTTTTTATAATTAACGCGAACGGTTTTTTACGGTTAATTTAAAAAGTTTAAAAAGTTATTACGCGTTTTTTTTTTATTTTTTTTATTAATTATTTCGAAACCGCTCGTTTTTTTAATTAATTAAAAAAGAAAATTTTATTAATTAATTAAATATATTTTCTTTAATAAATAAAATTATTTATTTTTTTAATTTTTTTAATTTTAATTTAATTAATTTAATTTAAAAATTATTTAATTAATTAAAAAACTTTAAAAAATTAATTATATAAAAATAACCGTTTTTTTTTAAATTAAGTTTTAAATTTAATTTATTTTATTTTATATTATATAATTAATTTAATATTTTTTAAATATTTTTTTAAAAATGTTTAATATATATAATATTTATTATAATTTAATTATAATTTAATTAAATTATAATTTTAATTATAAATTAATTATAATTTTAAAAGTTTTTTTTATATAAATAAATTTTTTAAATTAATTTAAAAAATATTAATTTAATTTTTTATATAATATATTTTTTAATTTTAAAATTTTTAAATAAATTTAAAAAATTTATTTTTAAATTAATTTAATAATTAATTTAATTATTAATAAATTAATTTTTAAAATAATTTTTTAATTAATTTTTAAAATAATTTTTTAATTAATTTTTAAATTAATTAAATAATTAATTTAATAATTTTTAAATTAATTTAATAATTTATTAAATAATTTATTAAATAATTTATAAATTAATTTTTAAATTAAATTTAAAATTTATTTTTAAATAAGTTTTTTAATTAATTTTTAAATTAATTAAATAATTAATTAAATAATTTTTTAATTTATTAAATAATTAATTTAATAATTAATTTAATAATTAATTTAATAATTAATTAAATAATTAATTTTAAAGTTTTTATATTTAATAATTAAATTTATTTAAATTTTATATTTAATTAAATACGTATAATTATCCTTGTTAATTTTTAATATTAACTTTTAATTAATTATATTTTTATTTTTATTTTATTAAGTTTTTTTTCCGTTATTTATTTTCGTTTTAATTATACGTTAAATATTTAATTTTATTTTAATTATTTAATATTTTATAAGTTATTAATTTTTTATTTAATTTAATTATAAACTTTTTAATTTAATTAATTATTTATTAATTACGTAATTCGAATTATTTAAAAGTTTTAATTTATTAAAATAAAAAATCAATTATATAAAAAATTAATTTAATAATTTTTAAATTAAATTTTTAATTTAATTTATATTAAAAATTAAATTTTTAATTTAATTTATATTAAAAATTAAATTTTTAATTTAATTTATATTAAAAATTAAGTTTTTAATTTAATTTATATTAAAAATTAAATTTTTAATTTAATTTATATTAAAAATTAAATTTTTAATTTAATTTATATTAAAAATT